CGAGTAAAGTATAATCTCAGGGCCCTGACCGGACACAGGAGATTAGAGTCAGATTCGCTATCGGATGCAGGCAGAGCCGATAGAGAAATAACTTGTGCCCTGAATGGGGTACCAATCGCTTTTGGGACATAACCATGTCTAGGTTTGAGAACGACTAAGGAGTCATTGGGCCCAAACTCCAGACAGGAAGCGCTGCTGGACAGCGCGTGAAGGTCCCCCACACGCTTCACTGACGCGAGCGCGAGCAGGAAGATAGTCTTGAGCGAAAGGTATTTGAGCTCCACGGTGTTTAACGGTTCGAATGGGGGGGCTTTCATAGCTTCGAGAACTATGGAAAGGTCCCAAATCGGCACCGACGGGGGGCGTGAGGGGTTCATCCTTCTAGCTCCCCTGAGGAAGCGGATGACTAAGCCATCTTTGCCCAGTGACTGGCCGCGCCGGGGTTCAGCGAACGCTGCGACGGCTGCCACATACACCTTGAGAGTGGAAGGGGACCTGCCCTTATCCAGCATCTCTTGGAGAAAAACTAGCAAGGAAGGAACCTCGCATGACCGTGGGTCCAAGTTTCTGTCGGTGCACCACTTAGAGAACACAGACCATTTAGACGCATAGAGCCTTCTAGTAGAAGCCGCTCTAGCCTGCATGATCGTGTTTAACACTCCTTCTGGCAAAGCAACGGGTAGTCGTTGATCACCCACGCATGAAGCGCCCAGCGCTCTGGGTGGGGATGCCAGATCGTGCCGCGAGCTTGGGAGAGGAGATCTGTTCTGACTGGAATGGGCCACGGGGCTGTCTGTGACAGCTGAGTGAGCTCCGGAAACCAAGTCTGACCTTCCCAACGCGGGGCTATGAGGAGCACCGAGTGGCGTGTTTCCCTGATTCTCTGAAGCACCTGTGGTAGCAGAGACACCGGAGGGAATGCATAAAGCGGGCGGCTGGGCCAGGTCTGGGCTAGCGCGTCCTCGCGTTTTGAGAAAAATATTGGGCAGTGGGTGTTTTCTTCTGAGGCGAAGAGGTCCACCTCTGCTCTGCCGAATATTCGCCACAGCTTTTGGACTGTAAGAGTGTGCAGGGACCATTCGCCAGGGGGAATGGGGTTCCTGGACAGACTGTCTGGACCGTCGTTCAGATGGCCCGGCACGTGCGTCGCTCTGAGCGAGAGCAGGTGACACTGGGACCAAACTAGGATGCGTTCTGTCAGCCGGAAGAGAATTCTGGATCTGACACCGCCCTGACGGTTTAGATAGGAGACCACAGCCATATTGTCCGAACGGATCAGCACATGGTGACCGTGAATGCGCGGCAGAAAGCGCGTGAGCGCGTTCTCGACTGCCAGCATCTCCAAACAGTTTATGTGGAGGAGACTCTCCTAAGCTGACCAGGGGCCGAAGGCCGGTGAGCCCTCGCAGACCGCACCCCAACCCATGTTGGATGCGTCTGTCGAAATGACTTTTCGGCGAGAAAAGGTCCCCATGGAAACGCCCCGCTGAAACCATTCTGTCATGGTCCATGGCTGCAGAGCTGTGATACAGGTCTGCGTTACCTTTATCAGCTGGCGGCCCGTGGTCCACGCGCGGTGAGACACACGGCTCTTCAACCAGAACTGAAGCGGGCGCATGCGCAGTAACCCCAGCTGGAGCACTGCGGAGGCTGAGGCCATGTAACCCAGCGCCTTCTGAAAAGTTTTCAGAGGTGTGAGTCTGTTCATCTGAAAGGATGCGGCGAGACGCTGCACACGGCGCGCACGCTGTGTAGACAGGCGAGCCGTCATCGAGACCGAGTCTAGCTCTATACCCAAGAAGGAGATAGTCTGACTGGGTTGAAGTGCGCTCTTTGTCCAGTTGACAGAGAGGCCCAGGTTTTTCAGATGGTCGAGGAGGACTGTACGATGAGACAGTAGCTCCCTCTGTGATTGTGCCAAAATCAGCCAGTCGTCCAAATAGTTCAGTATTCGCAGCCCCTGACTCCGCAGGGGGGCGAGCGCCGCATCCATGCACTTCGTAAATGTGCGGGGTGCTAGGGATAGGCCGAACGGGAGGACGGTGTATTGATAAACCTGGCCTTCGAAGGCGAAACGTAAGAATGGCCTGTGAAGGGGATTTATCTGAATCTGAAAGTAAGCATCTTTCAGATCTAGTGAAATGAACCAGTCCCCCTGGCGCACATGCGCGAGGAGTTTTCTGATAGTGAGCATTTTGAACGGTCTCTTCATGAGAACTTTGTTCAGAAATCTGAGGTCTAAGATTGGTCTGAGGCCGCCGTCTTTCTTTGGCACCAGAAAATAACGGCCGTAAAACCCCGACTCGCTCATAGATAGAGGGACTCTCTCTATAGCCCTTTTGCACAATAGTTTCGCTATCTCTGAACGGAGCAGAGTCACTGCTTCTGGGTTCACAGTAGTCTCTAGCCGAGCTCGGAAACGTGGAGGGCGGCGGTGAAACTGTAAGCGATAGCCTAGCCTTATTGTGTTTAACACCCAGCGGGAAATTCCCGGAATAGCTTCCCACGCTTTGAAGCGTAACGCTAAGGGGTGAATGGCTACATGGTCCCCGTTGCTGTACACAGCGGGCCGCGCGGGTGCGCTCATCGTGTTTATAACAGCGGGACTTACACTCAGAGATGAGTTTAAGGGCCGTGTAACAGAGTGGGCAGAGGTGGGACGCGCACACGGGCTCGTGGGCGCGCTTATGTACTCTGATACTCGAGCAGGTAGGAACCGCTTTATGAGAGTGGGCTCTGTGAGACACACGGGAACTGAAATGCTTTTGTGTATGAGTGAACACAGTGTTGTGGGCACATTTTCTACACGTGAGGCTTTTATGCTCTTTTTGAGATTTCTCTGGGTCGCCGTGAAAACGGCGTTTGTGGTCATGCAAGCGGGAAAGGGAACCGGCTTGGTAATGGCGGGGTACACTGCTGTAGTAGCCGCGTGAGCGGGGACTAACAGAGGGCGAAACTTTGACGGCGGTCCGGCCTCGGCGGGAGAGCGCCGTCTTTTTCTCAGCTGTGCTAGGCAGACATAGAGTGATCGGGTTTCAGCGTGATCCTGGACCGAGGCCCACGGGGAGGCGGCGGTCTGTGGCGGCTGTCGGAGCGAGAACGAGGGCGGCCGCCCTGGCGTCGCTGAGAAGTCTGAATGTGCTGAGCTGGGTGCTGGGGTGGGGCTCCTGCAGGAGGCTGGTCACGTGAGGAGGTACTCAGAGGAGCTAGCGCGACGAGGCAGAAAAAGATTCATGGCCTGGGAGGCTTTCTGCACTTCGGAGAAACGGTCAACGATACCCGTGACAGCAGATCCGAAGAGGCCGGACGGAGAGAGCGGGGCGTTGAGAAAAGCGGCGCGCTCGGAATCTCCCATGTCGGCGAGCGTGAGCCACAAATGTCTTTCAGACACACAAATGGCGGCCGTACATTTCCCCAGGGCTTGAGCAGCAGACTTTGTAGCGCGAAGGGCAATGTCCGTAGCGCTCCTCAAATCCGCGACTGATGGGGGATTTTTTCCGCTCTCGTCCCACTCACGCAGTAAATCACCCTGTAGAATCTGGAGGACGGTCATGGAGTGAAGTGCAGAGGCTGCTTGGCCGGCGGCTGAGTAAGCGCGCGCGTGGAAGCTCGAAGTCGCTCTGCAGGCTTTAGAAGGAAGCACAGGTGATGAGCGCCATCTCGTGGAGGGCGGGCACAGATGTGCGGCGACCAGGTCCTCTACAGGGGGAATGGAAAGATAGCCCTTTTCTGCGGCTCCGTCCACAACGCGAAGCGGGGCGGAAGAGTCGGAGCGAGTTCTGGCAGAGAGCGGGGCATTCCAGGACTTTGTGAGTTCCGCGTGCAGTTCGGGCAAGAAGGGCGCGGCCCGTTTAGTGACGGGAGTCGAGCGCTGGCGGAAATAGCTGCCGTCCATGCGGTTGATGGTCTGCTCGGGGGGAGGAGACCAATCGAGCCCGAGGCGTTCGACGGCCTGTGAGAGGAGGCGCACTAATTCCTCCTCAATTCCAGCGCGGGTCCTAGAGGATTCTCGGGCCGAAGAGGCGTGAGAACCGGACCAATCCTCACTGTCTGAAGCGAGAAGCGAACATGTCTCCTTGATGTCCGCGGCGTCGTCGGAGGCGACAGAGCGGCCACTCGGCGGCAACTGTATGTCCGGAAGCGGCGGAGAAGGAGAGCGGGAGGCGACAGGCTCCGGCGGGATGAACGCTTCTGGCTGGGGTTCCGGTGGCCTTTGCGAGCGGCGTTTCTTCTTACGCGGCGAAGTCGAAGGCGGCGCGGAAGCAGCTTTTGTGGCCTGAAGTCGAGCCCGCAGGGTCGATAACGGCATCTCCTCGCAGAGATCGCAGCCGCCATCGGCGAGGGCGAGCTCGGCGTGCTCCAATCCGAGGCAGAGAGCGCAGATGACGTGGCGGTCTCCAGTCTCGAGGGGAGCGCGGCAAGAACCGCAGGAGGAAAAACGAGACATCTTTACAAAGACGCTCGGCTCTTTTAGATACACACACACACAAAACAAGAAGCTTTTGATTAAAGGATATGAATCCGTCTTATGGCGCTAGCTTGCAGGACGGCTGAAGGTGGCGAAGACGGCCGGCTTCCTCAGTCTCCCAGATGCTCGCTAGAAGGTGCCTTTTCTACGACGGCGGCTTCTCTCAGGATCAGCAGATGCGTGTAGCCTCGCTGAAGAGATGAAAATCGGAATTTACAGCCTGAGAGGCGAATTTATACTCTCTGACCACGCCCGTTTCTGCGGGCTCTGACGCAATGAGAGCAGGTCAGACTCTCATTGGCCGAGAGTTCATTCGTGTCTCCTCATAGGCTTAAGCAGTTCCCTGTGAGCGAGCCAATGAGCTGCTAGCTAGCCTGCTCATGCTCTGCTGCAGCTGAACTGCGTTGACAATAGATACAAAATTATAGGATAATTTTTGGCTTCAATTTCTCAGAAAAGATGAATCTTTCCCGTAGCGTAAGCTAGCTTACGCAATACGAGAGAACCTCTCGTAAGAGAACTTCATTGTTAAAAAAAAACACAACTATACAATTTTTGCAGTTTTTAAGCAGGTATGAAATATACCTGAATTGACCTCCCTCAAAAGGTATTATAATGTGCTGTTCTATGCAAGAGCGAGACACGGAACAAATTTAAGAAGCAGTGGCTCTGATCCTGGTGACTTCCTGTCATCAACAGTGATCTCAGATAACATAGACTTCTGTCTTCTCTCCCAGAAGCCAATACGTTCTCATTTTGCCTTTACCCTGAAAGAGAGGAAGAACACCGATCAATAGCATGCATCAATGCACTCAGCCCACTGGAGGAACTAATCAACAATATGTCAGCAATATGCTCTTTCTTAATGAAAAGACAGAGGCATAGGCCGCGTTTACATTACATGGTTCAAGTGACCTAATTCAGATTTTTTCACTCCCATGTGTCACAGATCGGATATGACCCACAAACATGTAAGCAGGAAAAAAGCACATGGATTCCGTTTTAACCTTAGGGCGTTTTCACACCTGAAAACCCGCACCAAGGTCCGCACCAAAGTTCACGTTTTGATACATTTTATACTTTCAGAAAGTTTTGGTTTGGTTTCACACTGCAATTATGCGAGCGCACTAAAGAACTTTACGTGACATACTTGCGTCCTGTCGTCATCATCTATGTGGGCTGCATCTTGACATTGATTGGTTTTGTAAATGGACGTGCGTCTGACGTCAGCGTGTTGTCAATTCGGCGGGTAACTTTGACAACATGAATGAACAGACGCATATCGTTGCAACTATATTGTTATTTTTATGGCATAATTACCTGCAGCACCAACTATACACAAGGCTAGTTCAAATTCGCCAAATGAACGTCCTCGTCGTGCGAACCTTTTATCGTCGCCAGCAGGAAAGGAGGAGAAGACTGCAAGTTGACTTCTTATTATGTCATCAGACCATACTTCAATTAAAAACCTCATCTCCTCCTCTCCCCATGTGCTACCACGGCTCATTTTTCCTGCCACCTTCTGTTTTTTCGGCTATGCGGGAACCACCGGAACTTCCTGTAAAAGGTCTGAAAGTCCGAACCATACAGAAATGCTTTCACACTAGAAACGAACCAAACCTTTGTTCAGTTTGATCCGGACCGAGACTACCTCTTTTCGTCGGACCAAATTTCATCTGTTTGGTCCGGACCGTGGTCCGGGGTAGGTTTCACACCTGTAATTTTGATTCGGACCAAACTGAAAAGTCCGTAAGTCCGGACCAAACAAGGTAGATGTGAAAGGGCCCTTAGATTGGTTTCAGGCCTCATTCATATGTGGAAATAAATCTCATATGAATTGGATACGTGCATTTGAGTCTGCCATGTAAGCGAACAGATCAGATATTCCCCTATTAATGCGAGTCGTACGTCATTGAAAAACCAAAGGTGGCGAATGATGTCAACTCAATCACATGACTCTTTTCAATGGTGCAATGGAGGACGAAGGCTCAACCCAATGTTTTGTTGGCCTTTAAAGATGTTGCGGAAAGCAAAGGCTTGAATTATCATTTTTATCTGCATCCTTTGCAAATCACTTCCTTTTCGGCCTAAGCTTTTCTGGGTCAGTACGTCTAACTTGGGTTGTTTGGCGTAAATGTATAGTGTACATGCAGATATTGGATTTGGGTCACTTTTAAATGATGCAAGATGGTCGTCCAAAAAAACAAAAATAAAAAATGTAAAACAATGTATATAAAAATAATTGAGAAAAAATAATAATTTATATATACATTAATCACTTCAGAATGCAAGCACGACTGGAACTCCATACCTTCATCTCCACGTCTCCTCGCAGCTGGAGTTCAAAGTAGCCAAACTCGTCCAGCACCTCTTTGGTGGCTGAGGACATATGTATCCTCAGAGCTGTGGAGCACATGATAATCATAAATTAATAGTCAACCGGAAGATAAAAAATTTTCATCATTTTCAAAACTTAATTTCTTTTTCTGTGGAGCACACTTACAAATATTTTGACGAATGTAAAATCAGCACTTTTTTCATTCAAATTAAGCACAAAGTGACTACAAGGGCTGTTGAGCTCCAAAAAGGCCAAAAAAATACTATAATTTTTTTAGTCCTTATTTGCAAAAACCTTTCCTTCAGTGGTAGTTTAAAAATCTCAACTCAAACTCATTAAAACTAAAATTATTTAATATTTCCAAGCACTATGAGACTTGGGGCCAGTTTTACTAAACAGGGCAAATTAGCGTGAGAGTGCAATTCCAAAAAAGCGCAGATTGGAGTGGAAAGTTCTGTGCGTGATCTACTGACAACATGCAAATTAAAGAACAGACGCAGCCGGATCATTTCCATAATGACCAACGCATCTACCAAGAGCAGCGCAAATTAGCATCTGGTTTATGACATGCTTTTTTGGGCATTAAATAATGGCGCAAATACCAGTCAATTTGACTAGCGCAAACCTTAGTAAATCACCTTGCATGATTCATTTAAATACACTCCTCCCATAAAGGATTTAATAATCTTCATAACTCAAATATTGTAGTACAGCTGTATAGTTTATTATAAAACGGTTAGTTCCAGTTCTTGATTCTGATTGGTCAATAGCTGTGTTTTATTCACGATAAAACACGGCTATGACCGCTTCACCCATATCACTACACTACACTCTATGTCTCACTACACAACACCTCTAGCAACCACTCTTAGCAACTTAAACACATGTTCTCATTGATATTGTTCATTGAAGCCTATAGAGTAGAGTATTGTGACAGATCGAGTAAGCGAGTGTACCTGCATTTACAGTAGATATGTGCATTTTCCTTCATTTGAATTTCCATTTCTGGCTATTTCTTGTCCTTTTAATAGTTAAGGGTTTTTTCCCGTGCCCTCTAGTCATTTGCGTCTTGCTTCTCCGTGTTCACAAGTTTCAGTCCTTTCAATATAAAAGTGTTCTCTACTAACAGGCTCACTCATAAAGACAGTCTTTTTTTATTTTTTTAAGGCTTGCACCTTGGAACCTTTTTCCAGGCTACCAGGCTCTGTTGTTGTGATAATGAGCAGGCCGGATCGCATTAAAGGTGTCATATAATGCCATTTTCATACAAATTAATTTGATTCTTTAGGGTCTAAATGAAAAGTTTGTAATATACTTTAATTAAAAATTCTCGTTAGTATTGTAAGAAAACACTAATTTTACCTGGTCAAAAACAGCTCTGTTTTCAGCACGCCGTTTCAGGGCATATGCCTTTAAATGATAATGAGCTTCGCTCACTCCGCCCCTCTGTTCTGCGGGCGTTTTGACACAACGCACGTGGAGTGTTGCCTTGACAACAGTTGAGGGTATATTTTGGAGAAAGAATGGCAGCGGGAGTCTCTGAGGACACATCTGTGCAACCGTATCAATTTGAACCGGGGTCGGACCCGGAACAAGATGACGGCCGCAAAGAAGTTCCACAATTAAGGCTCGAACAGGACGTTTCTGAATGGTTGGTTAACATAATGTCACTTTGATCTATCTTTGTGTACTGGCAGGGTAGAGTAACTTAGTGAGATGTACGAACGCTATGGGCCCTATTTTAACGATCTGAAATGCAAGTATCAAGCGCGAAGCGCAAGTAACTTTGTGGGCGGGTCTTGGGCGCTGTTGCTATTTTACCGGCGGGATAAATGACTCTTGCGCCTGACGCAAGTTTAAAAGGGGTTGGTCTGAAATAGCTTCATTATTCATAGGTGTGATTTGGGCGTAACGTGAAATAAACCAATCAGAGCGTCATCCAACATACCCTTTAAGAGCAGGTGCGCATGTTGCATAGTGGATTGCTATTATAACGGCGGATTTACCAGGCGCGTGCCAGGAGCGGTTCACAGCCGAGGAGACCGATGTTCTTGTCAGAACCGTGAAAGACAGAGAAGTGACGTTGTATGGGGATGGGAGAAACCCACCCAAATCAGCGTCGGTTAAACAGGCGTGGGAGGAAAAAAACTAAATTTGTTTACATCTTCATGGACAACACAATGATTTCATTCGTGTGTTAATATTTTTCCTTGTTATAATGTATGATTTGCAAAAATAAAAACTGCTGCATCTGTGTTGATGAGAGAATCAAAGTGTATGCGCGTTGTGCACCCGCTACATTATGGCCAAGCATGCGCGCTTAAAATAGCATTATGAACAACGCGCAACGCGCCACTGACTTTAGACTAGGTTTTTTCTGGTCAGTGGCGGAATTGTTTTCTGGAACTGCAAAATAGCACTAGGGAATGTTTGCGCCGAAACACGCCTCCTTTTTGCGCCGACCCGCCCAGGGAGCGCAAGTTCATTTCCTAGTTTACCGACGTGCGTCTGTGGAGGGAAAAGCCCGCTTTGTGCGGGTGCAAAATAGGAATGATACAAGCGTCAGTGTACAAAGTCATTTGGGCCGGGTGCAAGATGTATACATACTCAGTTTGTAATAACACAATAACCATAACGCGTTGTTCATTATAAACGTGGGATTATGAATTATATTGAGAACGTCGTACATAGAATTATTTTTTTCAGGAGCAGCTTCTTAGCAAAACCAGCTTTATACTGAGTCTGACCCTCGTTTATAAAGCAGTCTGGTGAGAAAAGATTCACGAATCGCGCAAACATGAAAGCATTAACGTTGCTCATGGGGAATATTCCCTTCGAAAACAAAACTCAGCCACTGCGTCTTCAGCGGTTCGGATTTAGGAACATCAAAATGACTGCTGTGTTCGTTATTACACCCAAGAACAGAACACCACAATCGCTTAGACGCCATTCTGCTCCAGCGTATCAACAATGACGGACTATAATGACAGCTCGCTCAAGGCGCGGATGTGTTGAAACGCTGCTGTCAATCAACAATCGTGGGAGGGGTGTCCGATTTAGTGACGTCACAAAATCGAATGGCTCAATTTGAGACAGGGAAACATATAAGGAGATTACAACAAAAAGACTGGATAGATTTTTTATCATTATATGATGGTTGTGTACAGGCACTGCCAACACACATTTCAGTACAATCAATTTGAAAAAGTGCATGTACCATTATATGACCCCTTTAAGGGTTTTCTGTTAGAACGGTGTCGTGTCAGCAACCCCTAAGTTAAAAATTAATGATCTTTGCAACGGAAGATCTTTTGATCAATCAAAACTAACTTTAGCTGGACAATATTCTAGAGCTGCTGTAAAGCCAAAACAATCTCAGTTACTTAAATTTCCTATTATCACTAGCCGCGTATCCATTACCCTTCAAATTGCGCAAATTGAAATTGAGAATTAAAAATACGCCCAATGGAAACAAAAATGGAGTCAATTTCACTAAAATTCCCATATATCGCAAAAAAGTTTTTACGCTCGCATGGGGTGGTTTTTCAGGCAATTCGAAAAAGGAATATTTCGCAAAACTGCAATGAAAACAGTTTTTGCGCATTTCAGGTCACCTGACATAGACGGCGCGGTATGTTTGGACAGAAGACGAGACGGAGTTCTTTATTAAACGTATAAAAGACAAAAGAATTATGGTAAAACTGGATTCTAAACCACAAAGAAATGCCACAATTAAGACCTTGAAGCAGATATGAGGGAGAAACACCCAGAAAGACCTCATATGTGCCACTCTGAGTATAAGGGTCTTTCCCTGCCATTAATGTTGCATAACACACCTATGTCTCCTTCAGTTAAAAATATGGCTAGTGCGGTGGCTGTGATATATGTAAACCCATACCGACATCTGTTGCCATAATTATTGGAATGACTTCTCGCAAGAGGTAAAACTTACGTTTCAGTCACATAACATCCGTTAATGGAAACGCTGTCATTTCGCAATAGTTTTTTATCGACGTTTAGAAAATATCGCAAAAGTTTCGCGCAAATCTGTAATGGAAACGAGGCTTCTGTAAAGCTGCTTTGAAACAATCTATATGTTAAAAGCGCTACATAAATGAAGGTGACTTTACTTGACTTGAATTTGCCGCCATCTAAAGGTGAAATAATTTAACTTCTGTTGCTGTTCACGGGCAGGGTGGGACTATTTTTTTCGAGCGGAAGGAAGGCTTTTAGTGATTTTACTTTATGAAAGTTGCATTGATACATATATTGATACACATTTTGGCTTTAATATTTGTATTGTGTTGTAACCGTTTTATAAAAGCAATAAGGTTCTCAAGGCTAGTGCTGTATCGTGAATAAGTAACGCCCTTCAGCCGTGACTTATTCACGATATAGCACAGCCTCTTGTACCTTATTGATTACGTAAATGTTAAACTTGTTTAAAAGTCAGTGGTCCGTTATGTTCTCTTTGTAATGGGAGATTTCGTAACTATAGAAACCACTTCTCCATTGCCGTGTTTTGCCAGAAACTACTTCAGAGGTTTCACGCAACCGGGCTCTGGCTCTTGAGGTGAGATCCACACAAAACTGTTTTATGATTTCAGAAGAATGTATGGATTACTTTTACAGAATGATACTTTTTTTGGTCACTGAATGCTTTGATTGTACAGAAAATTCTCCCTATTCTCTATTAGAAAGAAAGTCATTTGAGTTTGAAATGAAATGAGGGTGATCAAACAAAGACTTTTCATTTCTGAGTGAACTATCCCTTTAAGAGTCACAGCCAATAACTGTAAGTGCACAGCTGTGAGTGACAAATGACACCGTGCTTAATAAAAAATTATTCATCACACTTAAGAATGACGACAGACACTCAACACAAATGGAGCCCAAGTAATGGGCAATCTGTCCTGTCTACAAGAGGACCGACATATCTGTAACAGGCTCCAGAAGGTGTGGCCTTTAAGTGTGTGAAGCATTAAGCTCCAACAAGCTGTAAACATATTATTACATGTTATAAATCAAACCGGATACACGTCGAGTGTCCTTGTCACTAATTATGAATTATAAATGAAGCCCACCTCAGGAAGTGGACTGTGAGTCGATACATGTGGTAAGTCTCATGAACAACAGCTGTTACTTGTAAATGGGTGAAACGCATATTAAAGTTTTATACAACACTACTGAGCAGCTACAATACAAAATAAGCACAACAATATACAACTGGATATGGATGCTATTTTTATCTTTACTTTTCAGTATTGACTAAAATACATTGCTGTTAAAAATTGTTTTGAGCACAAAATCAGCATATTAGAATGATTTCTAATGATTTCATGTAACACTGAAGACAGAAGTACTGACTGCTGAAAACTCAGCATTTACATCATCACAGAAATACATTACATTTTAAACTATATTAAAATAGAACAAAAACGTTATTTTATATTGTAATGATCACAATATTAATATTTTTGAATTTTTTTTAATGGTATTGGATATGTATAATTGGCATTTCTCTCTACTCACAATTATACAATCATGCTGCATTCCATGAACCCAATGAATCTCTATTGACAATTGTACACCTGCAGCACTGCATAAAATCATTTCTCCTCCTCAGTTTGGTTGCATCGTCTGCCAGGGGGTATTCCAAAAAGCAAGGTTAAAGGGATAGTTCACCCAAAAAAGTACCCCGTAATTTACTCACCCTCAAGCCATCCTAGGTGTATATGACTTTCTTCTTTCAGCCAAACACAATTGTTATATTAAAAAATATCCTGTCTCTTTTAAGCTTTATAATGGGAGTGAATGGTACCATAGATTCTGAAGCCAAAAAAAAGTGCATCCATCCATCATAAAAGAAATCCAAAATGGCACATGCCTGTGTTTTCATATGAGTCATAACTTTACACCACCAAAAGTTATCAATATTTTGATATATTTTATTTAAATATATCAAAATCACAAACAAAGATTTAGTTAACTTAAGATGTTTTTCCACCGTTGGGCCAAACCGTTCTCCTTCCTTAACCATTCTATTCTGTGCAGATATATGGTTTAATTTTCCACTGCTTAGCTGATAACAGAGCTCTTTGGAATGTAATTCAAATTCATCAGTAGTTGCAATAGGGATGTAAATAGCGATTACGTTATGGAGGAGAACAGCAGTGAAGTTTACGTTGAACTTCGCTCAAATAGTGCGCTTGGCCAGCTACTGAGAAACTGGTAGCCAAGCAACCAACAAGTGACCAATACTGAGTGGCGATGTCACTACATGCACTCTGCATGTTTAGCCAACCGTGCTAAGAATTCCGGGTGAGAAATCGTGTTGTGACGAACCAAGCTTAAGTGGAAATAAAACCTTGCTGTTCTTAGAACCATTCGGCCTGAAGCAGCTTTAATCTAATGCTGCATTGTCATAGTGTAGGAAAAATTCTGCATTCTGAACAAAGATAAAAAAATTATTTTTGTCACCAACCTTCCCCTGTAGACTCCATTCGGGATGCTGTGTTGACAGTATCTCCAAATAAACAGTACCGGGGCATCTTAAGACCCACTACACCAGCACAGACAGGCCCTGCTCAACACACACACACATGCAACATAGAGGGAGATTAATTCACTGTAGGAATCCAGTAACTACTTATACACAGTCATAATGCTTCCTCAAAGGTTGAAAAAAAAAATAAACTAAACGAGAACAACAGGCTGCAATCAGATCGCATGTATATGGCATAAATTCCTTACATCTCAACTGAACACACACACCCATGTTGAGTTTTCATGTTTTATGAGGACATTTCCTTGACATAATGATTTTTATACTGTACAAACTGTATATTCTATCCCTTAAACCTAAACATCACAGAAAACTTTCTGCAGTTTTTTTTATTTTCAAAAAACAATTCCTTATGATTTATAATCTGTTTTCCTCATGGGGACCATAAAGTGTCCCCACAAGTTCAAGGATTTCGGATATTGCCGTCCTTGTAATGTAGGGTTTACCTGAACCACACACACACACACACACACACACACATTATATATATATACAGTATATACATATAAAGTATACAACAACAACAAAAATTATATGCATTTGTTTAACGCAATAATTATCAGTCCTTAACTTGCCATTGTTTTGTTAATACTAAATAAGTACAATACTAAATAAACACATCAATGACATTAAGCCTGAAATGAATTAAATCTGTGAAACAGATACCTGTGTGGATTCCTATCCGCAGTCGTAGCTGATCGTTGGGTCTGTGTTTGATTTTGAAGGTTTTAACCTCTTCCAGTAAAGCCAATGACATGCCAGCTATCTCACGTGCATGTAGCTTCCCATTCCGCACAGGCAGACCTGACACCACCATGTATGCATCACCGATTGTCTCCACCTAAAAATACAAGAACATGCACAAAGTCATCTGCAAAAAGTTTTTGCACATTTTTACGCCTTTAAAAAAGCTGAAGAAAGTTGAAATAATTAAAAAAATACTTTCTCTAGAAAGAGTGCACTATATACTAGTGTATTATAAAGGTATTCATCTGCATTAATATGATCAAGCACATTCCACATCGTACTGTATGTGTTTGAATGCATTATGCTTTTGAAAGGTATAACCTCATGAATAGATAATAAAAAGAATGTACCATTTTTTATGAAAAGATATAATGACTGCACTGTGAATTAAAAGACACTCACCTTATATACATCAAAATTATCAATAATGGCATCGAAGCATGTGTAGAGATCATTCAGTAATGTCACCACCTAAAGAGAGTCACAGGACACTGTTAAGAGCAGTATTGAGTTGTGAATGACATTAGTATGACAACATTATAAAATAATGAAGGCCTTTGTATCAGATCATAAAACTTAAATTACAAAGAAATTAAAAGATAGTTCTAACCCTATCCTACCCCTTAACCTAACCCGAATACCCTGGCCCAGGAAATACCCTATAGACTATAGAGTCTATTCTAACGAGCTTAGGATCTGAATCAGGTGTGTTAAATAAGGGAGACATACACAATATGCAGAGCAGTGGGTCACGAGGACTGGAGTTGAGAACCACTGGACTAACCCTTGTTGTAAGCCTAAACTTGACATTCCCTATCAGTCAGTCAACGTTACATCAGAACTGAACTGATGAATTGGGATCTCGCCTGACAGCCCAATCATCTTCGAGTGTAAACTACTGTAAACGAGCCAATGCACATTGGCATGCGAGATTTGCATCACGAGCCCCACTCCGCGAAGCGGGTATATAAGGAAGCGCGTGTGCGATCGCACCTCAAGCTTTCGCATCAGAGCAGAGTGGTTGTTGCTGTTCTGCTCTGCAATCATCAATGAGTGTGCTACGAGTTGGAAGAAGCTCTTTAGTCAAGTGTTGGTGTCAGCGTTGGTCGCTTCAAGAGCATTTCCCAATCACTTTCTGCCGTTCTAAAAGACCATTGTTGCACACTGCAGACTTAAATACAGGTCTTGCGCACTATTAAAATAGCTATTTCCCTAAAAGAGCAAGCACTGGGGTGACGTTGCATCTTTTTAAAGATGTCATTCCACCCGTGTGTTTCTGGATGCGGTAGTTTCCTGGCTCCGTCTGATCGTCACAATCGCTGCCTCATGTGTCTGGGCATAAAGCCCACTGAGGTGGCTTTCGTGGATGAGTCATGTACCCATTGTGGGAAGATGCTGTGGTCGAGACTCCAATACCTCCAAAAAGGTCCCCTTTGTCCCCTCTGCTATGCCCCTCTAGCACATCGCAAGCTGTGGAGCTTCCGGCTGAGACTGCTGGTCCTTCGCATGGGGGACCAAGAGTTTCATTTGGGGCTCCAGCGGAAGACCCGATGTCTATCGCTGCATTGGAGGGTGGACTAGAGTCCTCCAGGGATTAAGATTATACTGCGTTGCCCCCTTCAAGAAGAGTAGTGTTGACCGAGTCTGACCCAGAGCTGACGGGAATGCTTTCCTGGGCCACTGAGAGTGTCAGGCTCGAGTGAAGGACTCCACCGTGTCCCGAATGCTCGAGACTGGATGATTGGTATCTCGGGATCGCCGGCAGGGACCAATAGCGCCCTGCCCCAGTGCCTTTCTTCCCGGAAGTGGACGAAGAGTTTACCAGATCATGGAAGGCACCTTTTCTGCCCCGAAACCGAGCTAGTGCCTCGATGGTGGGGTAGCCAAGGGGTACGTGGAGATCCCCCAGGTGGAGAGCTTCATATGAGACCGCTTCAGCACTGGCTTCACGGCTGAGTCCAGAGATGGGCAAGGCAGCGTGGCACGCACCGGGTGGCAATCACCCCGGCCTGTCGCCAAACCTTTAGCCCGTGGTCAGACCATGCATTTCTACTGGCAGGAGTTTCCCTGGAGCAAGTGTCCAGGCATGCTGTTGTCTCAACAGATGCCTCCACCACCGGCTGGGGTGCCATGTGCAACATGCATGCAGCATTGGGCTCCTGGATAGGACCCCGACTGCAGTGGCACATCAACTGCCTTGAGTTGTTAGCAGTACACCTTGCGCTGCTCAGCTTCAAATAGCTGCTACACGGCAAGCATGTACTATTCCGATCGAACAACACTGCAGCCGTTGTGTACATCAACAATCAGGGTGGTCCAAGCCAGGGGTTTTCAAACTGTGGGTTGCGACCCATTTGTGGGTCGCAGAGTGGGAAGAGGTGGGTCGCACAGTCACTTGGCTCCAGCTAAATTTACGTTTCAGTGAATGACACACAAACAGTCTAGGGTTGCTCCCTGTGGGCATAATGTGGTCTCCGTATCATCCCTTACCATAGGTATGCTTTCCCAGTGTTATCCAATAGTCTCACTGAGTGGGTCAGAAGGAACAGCAGTGTTCTTCTCTGCGTGAAGCCCTGTCCCATCTTTCGCCCCAGTAGGTGCGGGGGGATTAGGTAGCCTACGTGGGGGGCTGGAAGGGGCAGCAATAGTGGCGCTTTGGTAGGGATCCCAATTCGTCAGTTCAGTTCTGACGTAACGTTGATACACAGTCTCGACTCAGCGCAAAACTTGAAGTGTGATCGCACACACACTTCCTTATATACCCGCTTTGGGATTCCAATTCGTCAGTTCAGTTCTGACGTAACGTTGATATACCATCTCGACTCCTCAGCGCAAAACTTGAAGTGTGATCGCACACACGCTTCCTTATATACCCGCTTTGGGATTCCAATTTGTCAGTTCAGTTCTGACGCAACGTCTCTGTTCCCTCCTTCAGGGAACAGGGGTTACCTAGTAACCTAGATGTTAACGGTAAACCTATCCCTCAAATCTAATTGGTAAATTAGAATGCTGATTGTAATGGAATCACAATTTTAGAGTAGAATGTAGACATGTAGAATTTTTTATTTTATTTTTTATTTAAAACAATTACAACAAACAATTTAATGTTTTCACGTTAACACCACTAACCCATTATATTTATATAATTAAAATCCAAAGTACTTTAAAGTGGTAATACTACTACTAATAATAATGTAATAATAGAGGTGCTTTCCTTTTAAATCAGCTAAGATACTCTGTTCAGATACTTCAAGATACTTTCTCTGTTTAGTTCATTCTCTCAAGAATTCATTTGTTTGACTATTTAGACGAGACTTCCTCCGATTCCAAAAAATTGTTGTTTTTTTCGCGCCTTTTTAGGTGTGATGAGAACCTGACAGAAATAGTTCTGTATCTGTGCTCCCAAAACTCAGTTCAAACAGAATGTATAATAAAAGTCTATTGTGTCTGCAGCTCTGCCATGTCTCATAGAAGTTGAGTGAGAAATGACTGCTGTGATGAGTTTCTGCTTGAACTCCCTATGGTTCCCTCAAATTAAAATACTTTCTGCCCCCCACACCAATCCTCTCCCCCCGTCCCATCCCTTTGGATGTATGCCCAGAAAGAGGCCTTACAGAGTGATATATTTGCATACATAGAACAGAAAAGATGATGAATTAAACATGGAGGCCAACTTCATTATGAGGTTGTCATGCTATAACCTTAATCACTGAAACACTGGTGGATTTTATCATTGCATCGTTGAACAGCTGTTGAACAGTGTGATCCAAACATCATGACGGCTCATTTTTGTTGTCTGCATTAGGTCTAATTTCAGAGTAACTTTCCAAACTCAGTTGGTCTATTAGTTCAGATTATTAGTAAAACAAAATGCAACAATGGCCTCAAATGTCTCATAATTTAAAGGAGTATGCAACTTTTTCCACTTATGGGTACCCCTAAAGAAATTAATTACTTTTGAAAAAAAAATTAAAAATCATGTTTTATTTATAATGATATTCCACATAGTGAATAGAGTTGGAATAGCTATAATCATTTGCATGTGTTTACATAAATAATGATTCAGAACTTAATCTCACTGATTCCAGAAACCATGTTTTAGCCTAAATAATATCAAAGTATATACTATATCTGGATTTATTACATGGGTTGTGAAAGTCTTTGCATTTTCTAATCTCATTTGCTAAATCCTCTTCTTTGCAAAACATTATGGAATGCCTGGCATAAAATGTATTAATACACAAGCATTAAAGGAGAATACTTGACTATCTTGGGGCAAAACTTTGCAACCTCTCGCCAAAAAGCGACTAACATGATCATCGTATTTTGATCATCAAAATTCATGGGAATGTGAAGGAAGGAATGCCTTTTCTGAAACTCAGACCGAAGAATGCGGCAGTCTAAATCTCTGTTTGACAATATGAAGGTCAGATATGTTGCTTGCAATAGCATTGATGCATAGTGCTTGCATAATCATAAAATATTGCAGGATAGTTGCATACTAAATATGGTTATGTTCAGTCCAATCACAGATAAACAGATTAGACAAAATATGAAATATGTGCATTGATCATTCATTTTGTTTTTATAGAGTAAACATTCCCAGTGAAATAAGCCAGATCACAGTTAGTCTAATGCATCTTACACAACCTAGCACTCAGAACCAACCCAACCCTTGACTGTTTTTTAAATATATAAGATTATATATAATATAATCTTAGTGGATTTTATTTGTCTTGATCCACAAGAAGATTTTTTCACTTCTTGTAAGCACTGATTTTAGAATAATGTTCTTTCATTCTGAAATCATGCTGGAGAACATGATCATCAAGTTTTACACGAAGTTTGAATCAAAGGGAGGTGTACTAAATACTAAGAAAATCTATGTTATTCTTCAGTCCTCAATATTGTTATGTTAATATAATTTGCACACAAAAAAATCGAAAATACAAAAAGCTTTTTGACCATCGGTCTCAGATTTGTTTTCCCCACTGTTTATTAAATAATATTATATTTATTAGAATAGTCCCAGAGTTTTGTATCTAAAAATTATTGTGCAGACCTGTAAAGGTGTACTCTCAGCAGACATTGATGTAAAGCCCACTATGTCGCTGAAATAGATTGTGACACTGTCAAAGGCTTCTGCTTGTACGGTCTCCCCTCGCTTGAGCTGCTCCGCCACTGAACTGTGGGGAGAATTAGGTTACGATCAAGTGAACCATGTAATTCTTTTCCATACACAAGTCCAACTACAATAGCAGACATGCAATAGCAAACAATCAGTTAGTTTAACAATACACAAATGAAAGCAGAAAATAATTTCATTTAATAAATCCTTATCTAGAAACAAAACAAACAAATCGTAAATGATTCACAGCATGTTGAAATATGGAAGCTTTGTCCAGCTCTCAGACTTTCTGTTAATAAGACCCATTTGAGATCAATTAGTGATAATTCATGTAATTAAAGAATGAAAGATCTTGGTTAATTCCTAGCTATTCTTTAAGAGAGTTTAGTACTCTGTAATTAGTCAGCTTGTCTGCTTCATCTAAAGCCGGTATTAAAAGTTCTCACCACTTACATAATTATCTCAAAACAGCCATTTTTAGATAAGACAAAACAATATGGTAGAAGTTACATCACATGCAAGTTGTGAAGTAATAAGAGAAGTCTTGAACTAATAGCAGTTCTTCATCAATCTCCAATTAAAAGTTTGGAAATTGCATAGGAAATATTAAACAACACGTTTCTTACTGTGGAAGGATTTGGTAAAGAAGATTTTCGGCTTTCCGTTTCTCTTCGAGGTAGGCCTGGGTTCGCTCCTCTACCAAGTTCTCCAGGTTATTGGCATACTGTTCCATTCTGGACAGTAGGTTATTGAGAATACTGGTGCTGCCTTCTCTGCCAAAAAAAACAAAACAAAAAAACAGACACTTGGTTCCACATCTGATGTGTAATTATAGCAGATATAGATAATTATAATTACAGCAGACAGATTACAGCAGAATATTACAACTTTGTGAGATCACTGTCAATTAACCCATGAATTATTCAACGAGATGAATTGGAGTTATTGTATATTACTTATGAAAAAAGCATGAGAGTAGAGCTGAAAACATGAAACAGGAATATGTACTATAATGCAGTGTACATCAGAAGGAGCAGGGCATAGTTGCATCTTATGAGGCGTAAAACGCAGTTAGGATGAAGTGTGGTCGATTCTGGTTGAATCATGTACTGTTGGTGTGTAGTTTGCGTTGGGTTTGCTGAATCACATTGTTCTATTTTGGGGTCAGATCTCACTTCTACGTGCAGCATACAAATAAAAATCTGTAACACTTTACAATAAGGTTTGTTAGTTAACATTAGTTAATTACCTTAGTTAACATGAACTAAGAATGAACAATACTTCTACAGCATTTATTAATCTTAGTTATATTAATTTTAACATTTACTAATACATTAAAATCGAAGGTTGGATTTTTTAACATTAGTTAATGTACTGTGAACTAATATGAACAAACAATGAACATCTGTATTATTATTAACTAACATTACCAAAGATGAACTAATATAGTAACAAATGTATTGATCATTGTTAGTTTATTCATGTTAGTTAATAAATTAACTAATGTTAACTAATGAACCTTATTGTAAAGTGTTACCAAAAAATCGAATTATTATTATCTTTACAAAATGTACAAGATTAATCTCATACAACAATAAACCGTTGATTTTATTGCTTTAAATAAAAGAAATAGAATATTAATACAATCTTAATATCAGTCATATTATAGCTACAGTGCAAAAAGTTTAAGCAATTTACAATTACTCTAGAGCACTCTTAGATCTACAGAGATTTTCAAGTACTACTTTAGTTACTACGCTTTTGGGAAACGACCTGTAATTCTAGGATGACTCATGCAATTGTTTATGCAATCTACTTAGGCTTATGACGCTTTCCGGAAACACGGCCCTTGTCTATACCTATAGATATCTGATTTATTTAAACTTTCTTAAATGCCAACAAGATGCATTTATGTAATGAAGACTAGGTTGTAGGCTAAGCCTTTTTCGTGAAACATATTAGGCATTTTAGTGGAGGTTTGTCAATATCTGTCAACTATGACTTAAGTGCCCCTTTGGGGAATTAACAAGGAAGCTTTCACTCACATCAATATAGGTTGTTTATCAATGAGCTGTCAGCTGTAGGACAAATGCTGCATTCTGTTCAAAGATACAATGCTGCTTCTACTTCATGCAGTAAAACACAATCTGTGTGGTTTGTTATATAAAAAGTTTTTCTCTTTGAGATGATATTGATTGCATTTCCATGTAATTCCTAGATCTTTCTTTTGTGTTTAATTGTGGGAATGAGAATTGGTCAACAGATCAAAACAATGCAACAATGAATAATTTCAGAAAAAGAGTGAGCATCATTTGTGTACTGTCTGTTGTAATGAAGGATTTATTTTGAAAGTAGTGATGCACAGATTCCTCAGATTTAAAAAAAAAAAACAGCTGATGACCAGCAGCAATTATTTCCCGTCAAACATGTCGTACTACAAACAGCTTGACTGTCCACACTCCACATCATGAACTTATATAATAAAGAATAAAGAAATATATGACAATGTGGATAGAAATACAGTTAATAAATTGGAATCATCTAATTGAGTCTATTTAGAAAAATTATGCATTTACATATTGCCCTACATTAAACAATGTGGTAACACTTTACAATAAGGTTCATTAGTTAACATGAACTAAGAATGAACTTCAGTAGTTAATATTCATTTCAACATTTACTAATACGTTATTAAAATCAAAGGTTGTATTTGTTAACATTAGTTAATGCACTGTGAACTAATATGAACAAACAATGAACAGCTGTATTTTTATTAATTAACATTAAGATTAATACTGTAACAAATGTATAGCTCATAGTTAGTTCATGTTAGTTAATACATTTGAAATGGTAAATGGACTGCATTTATACAGCGCTTTCACAGACCCAATGGCCACTAAAGCGCTTTACATATTGCCTCGCATTCACCCATTCACTCACCGACGGCGGTGTCAGCCATGCAAGACACCATCCAGCTCGTCAGGAGCAGCTGGGGTTAGGTGTCTTGCTCATGGACACCTCGACACTTGGTCAGGTGGAACCGGGGATTGAACCACCAACCTTCTGGTTTGTAGACAATCTACATGAACCACTGAGCCACTGCCGCCCCAATTTAAACTAATGTAAGTTCTAATGAATCTAATGAACCTTATTGTAAAGTGTTACCAACAATTTTAAGTAGACTCATTGGTCAGCTATCCATATTTGGTAAGGCATTTGCAAATATAACAAATGTAAGTGATGTGTAGCAGGGTGCAGTGCTTACTTGTTAAATTTTGCAATGAAGATCTTGATGTGGCTGAAGTCAGCCCGTTCTGCAGGGTCTTCAGCCCAACAGCCTTCCATTAAGATGGTCAGCTCCTCACAGTGAAGGCTGTTATCTGTGGTAGGCCTGAAGTACGGCTTTTGGCCATTCCGCACCTTTTGGATTATCTCTGTAACAAAAAAACAAAACAAAAATGCTTGTCTGTGGTGTACAACAAATTAGTTTTAATGTACTTGATCTTTGAGGATGTTACCTTTGGGACTGAGATCCATGCCTTCAACATAAAATGGGCCGTTCCTTAGCGCTATCTCCTGTAGTATGATCCCAAAACTGTACACATCTCCTTTCTGGGTTCCTTGGGGTGGATGCCTATCATATATTAGCAACTCTGGAGCCGTCCATAGCTTTTCTGAAAAATCAGTTCGGTAAGCAGGCACAAAATACTTTATCAGCACTGGACAACAGTCAATTGATGTTTCATGCGTCAAAGCAGAAAATCTTAACAGATTCTTACTTGCATACAGTGCATGTGGTGAGTCTTCATTTTCACAAGAAGAACGGAAGCTTGCCAGACCATAATCTGTGATTTTCAAAACGAAGCGGCTATCCACCACACAATTAGATGATTTCAGATTGCCATGGGAGCCAATGTAACTGTTGTGCAGATAATTCATTCCCTGGCAGCACAAGCAGTAAACAGAACATTATGTCTTTGCCCACAGTTTATGGGGCAAATAGAGCAGAATACACATGAACCACTGAAAAACTGTAGCGTATAATGGTTTCATGAGAAAGCTGGACATGTAAAACAATGAACGTTAATCGTGTGTATTCCATATTGTAATTCTCAACAATACTTCCGTGTACGCTTCAAAGCATTACGACAATTACTGGGTTGATAGAAGCCAAAGAACATATTTCATAATTACCGTTGTAAGACAGAATACAGAAATTACGATAAAATGTTATTGTCTTTTCCATTAAACAGCAACTGTATTTAATACTCAGGATCATGATTAACTCCAGGTTAATTGGCCCACTAAATTCTTTCTGACAGGCAAGTGCTCTTTTAAAAACAATGTTTTTAAAGCAATTTTCTGTCTTAAAAGCAAAAATATGTTTTGTGAATTTAAGCGACAGTTTGCTCTGTTGTAATTGCAGGCCAATTTTCCAGCAAAAGTCAAATGCTTTTATGTGGCTGGGCTCTAAAGTACCTTTGACAATAAACAGAAGATTGGTTTACATTAATAGAGGGGGAATTTAGAGAGACATTATTTTCATACATGTTTTCCAGAAACAATGTCATGCTATCTTTGATGCCAGTCCTTTTTATTTTACTAATGGGGCTCCTCTCAGAAAAGCAAAAAATCAAACCAACACAGTTTTATGATTCTGTTTCCTGTCTGGCCTTTTCAACAATAAATTATACATTTTAATAGGTGCACCGTATTTACTGGGTTTCAAAAGCCATAACAATATGGCAAGTATTAAAGTATTCTATGTTGTTTTTAAATTATGATGTTTTTAATACCAGAATTAAAGAATAAATAAACTACACTAAACTAAACTAAAATCAAATATATTAAAAATATGTGTGATAAAATAGGGTTCCTTTATTTTTTTATATTATATATTTATTTTCCATTTTCCCACAAACCTTCACAATGTCATTGATCAATGAGTATCGGAACATCCAGTCCAGGTTGATGCTCTCATTTTCAAGGATGTCCTGTGAAAGAACAAACTGGACTTCAACACTGCGAAACATCTAGATGCACAGGCATTGTTTTTGTACAAGCAAATTATAGGCTTACGATTCAAATGCACAAATATGATCATTAAACATAAACAAACAAGGTCATTAACATGGAAATTAAGGAATAGTAACAACATTGTAATAGAGACTTAGTTACTACTGTATAGTTGCCAACTACTTCCCTGAAAATGCATTATAACATTAACATCAAAAACCATTCACACTGCCTGTGAACACAGAATAATATGAATAAATGGTTAACAATAATGTTATTAGTTAACATGTTTACCTGTAGACTGCCTCTGGGGCAATACTCTGTCACAATGCAGATATTTGGTGGATCGATACAAGCGCCAATAAACCGCGTCAAATGGTTGAACTGCACATCTCTCATCTATATAACAACAAAGTTTTGAATTAACGTTTTGAATTATAACCTTTATGATGCTGACAGTTAATAAAGCATCGGCCAATAAAATAAAATAATAAAATTGAATAACAAAATAATAATATAATATAATATAATATAATATAATATAATATAATATAATATAATATAATATAATATAATATAATATAATATAATATAATATAAAAACACCCAAAAAAAGTTGTTTCTCTAAAGTTTCTCAAACAGTTTTTTTTTTTTACTCAGACCATGTCTATGACAGCTTGGCAAATAATTTACCGTAAGTCATTGAGGTATAGTGAATGGCAAAATCTGTATGAGGCCATTATACACTTTACTTAGCATAAGCTTTGGCCTACATAACAGTGAGGGCAAATGTTAGTGGGAACAAAGAAGGTAAGATTCCCCCCTATCTGTTTGGTCTTTCATTTGACTCTGGCCCGGCAGCTAATCAGACCCCTAGGGCCACTGCCTGCAGGACTGGTGTTTCAGACTGCTGTCTTACTTAGCCTCTCATGTTTCCTATCAAAGCTGAGCAGGTTAGAATTGGCCACAAGTCAGCTAGTCTCATCAGCTTTCCTTTGGATACGGCCATCAAAATAAACTTAGGCTTTAAATAAGACTGTTATGGGAAGCTTTGACTTGCATCATGTTTTTCAGGCTCAGCCTCAATCATGGTGGTCTCAGATGATAGACAGATTTGGGATATGACCGGAATAGCATACTACAATATCCTTCTTACTGTCTCTGTTTTATGTACATTGTGCAAAGCGTGTGAATTTTTGTATGCACAAAATACAGATTACCTACGACATTTACCAAAATAGTGCAGCGTATAATAACAGAGCACTATTACAGAGTACTGCGTACAAAGTACTGTATTCCAATATGCAATGCACTCAAAGTTCCAATGAACTTTCATTTCCAGTGTGACAAAAGAAATTTAAAGGGTTAGTTCACCCAAAAACTAAAATCCTGTCATTAATTACTCACGCTCATGTCGTTCCAAACCAGTAAGACATTCGTTCATTTTCGGAACACAAATGAAGAACTTTAGTTGAAGGGGTGTGCATAAGACTGACATGACACCTTCATAATCATGACATGACACATGTCATGAATATGAAGGAGGTTTTATGCATGTTTATGACAACTGTCATTAAGTGTCATTAACACAGTCTCATCCCAAGACGTCATATGACAGACGCTTTTGACCATACGTCAACATCCGACGTTTTAGGGTACCCTTTAACGTCAGTTAGATGACGATCCTAGGGCGTCATCTAACTGACGCTTTACCTTTAGCGTCAGTAAGATGACGCGGGTAGGTTTAGGTCTGGGGTAGGGTTCGCTCAATTGTGACATTTTTAATGCAAATATGACATTGTTTGAGATGTCTTTGTTATGACACCTTGACATAAACCAATACATCATAACCTGTCAGTGTCTTTGTCATGACAACTTAACATTACTAAGACAACACAGCCTGTCATAAATATGTCATAAACATGACATATCAGACTAATTATCAAACTTAAGAAACCACTTAGCTTTATGGGTTAACATTACTATTAAACTGTTTTGAAATTGGCTGTCATGAGGACATTATAACTGTGTCATGAATATTTTTCTTGACCTCAACTACAGTGGTACAAATTGAATTTGTCATTAAAATGTTACAATGGCCTCATGACAGCCAATGTCAAAACCAACCCAACCACCTGACAGTTTAATGTAATGTTAACCCATAAAGCTAAGTGGTTTCTTATGTTTGATAATTAATCTGCTATGTCATGTTTATGACATATTTATGACAGGTTGTGTTGTCTTAGTAATATCAAGTTGTCATGACAAAGATACTAACAGGTTATGATGTATTGGTTTATGTCAAGGTGTCATAACAAAGACATCTCAAACAATGTCATATTTGCATTAAAAATATTGAGCGAATGACACTTAATGGCAGTTGTCATAAATATGCATAAACCCTCCTTCATATTCATGACATGACATGTCATGATTATGAAGGTGTCATGTCAGTCTTATGCACACCCCTTCAAGTAAAGTGTTACCGACATGATTGAAGTAATCCAAGTGGCTCTGTGGTTTAACCTCAATTTTATGAAGCGACGCAAAAAAAACGCAACAAAACATAAAAACGTCTGCTCTCGCGTTAACACAACATGGATGCATCGTGGTGCTCTCGTGACGCACGTTGGAGATTAATATTTTGTATATAAAGTGGTAAATTGTGTTTTTTTGCGCAAACAAAGCACTCGCATCGCTTCATAAATTTGAGGTTAAACCATTAGTGTCACATGGATTACTTCAATGATGTCTTTACTACCTTACTAGGGCTTGAAAGTGGTAGTTGCGTAGGCTGTCAATGGAGGGACAGAAAGCTCTCAGATTTAATTAAAAAGATCTTCATTTGTGTTGCAACGTTTGGAATGACATTAGGGTGAGTAATTAATGACAGAATTTTCATTTTTGGGTGAACTAACGCTTTGAGCAATTTCAACCATGATTAGGTTCATGATGCTTTGTGGTTCATCCGAAAATAAGTCTAAATTAGACAATTAAATTTTTTTTTACTTCTATTAATATAAATACATTTTTAAATCCTACTCCGACTGGATATTTATCTTGGAGGGGTGTTTACATGAAGCTTGCTCTTGCATTCAGAAACAGAACAGTTCTTAAAGGTGCTCTAAGCGATGTCATGTGTTTTTTAGGCCAAAACATTTTTTGTCACATACAGCAAACATCTCCTCACTATCCGCTGGCTGCCTGTCCCCTGAACACACTGTAAAGAAACGCGATCTCTGTAGACAGCCCATGCTTCACAAACAGCACCAAAAACAAACTGCAGCGACCCGCTCCCCAAAACATAACAAACTGTTCCAGCCAATGACCGACAAGAAGGGTTTGGGGGTGTGGTTTGGGGGGTTAGTGTGCGGATGAGGAGGAGGGAGGGTCTAGCTAGCCTCCGTTTTGTTTGACAATAGTTCGAACGTCAACATGAAGTGACGTCACCCAGGATCGCTTAGAGAACCTTTAAGGTCCGTTCACACCAAGGATGATAACTATAAAGATAACAATAAAGATATAGTTCTAAATTTCGTTCTCAATATAAAAGAATAGCAGAGTTCATACTATAACAATAACGGCACAGAGAAACGTTGGAATCACTTTCAGAACGATTTTATCCAGCTGATGAATGACATCTTTTATCTTTTAACTTGACATATGGCATCTTAAAACGCTTGAAAGTGAAAACATGAAGTGATGGCCAAAGACATCTAATGTGTATTAGTGTAGCGGTGATACTTTAAAGGGGAAAAAGAAAATATATATACAGATAAATATCACCCTAACGTCACCTTCTTCCTCTTAATTTCTTTAACATCTATTTCATGACAATGTTCTGTCTGAAGTCAGCATTTCCTTTCCAAAACACCTTGTAAAAATCCAGCCACACCGTCTGCCCCCCGACCTCAGTGTCTACAGCCTCATATTGGCTTCCCAGCCCCCCACCAAAGAATGCATGTTTATGTGTGTTTATATGGGCAGCAAGGCTGTCCAGTGGGGTCATAAACTATGGTCTAAACACACACACATAACATGCATACCTTGTCTTCTCTTCCCAGATATAGACACGGATGGATGCAAACACAAATTTAACAGAAATACAAAACCTCTCTCTTGTGATTAAATGCATTCTCTTACATGCTTTAGTTCAAACAGCACTTGTCTGGTGAGCTCAATCCTCTTCTTGTTCACATGTTTGATAGCCACCAGGTTTCCCTGTTGTGAAATGAAACAAGTGTTAAAAGGATCAGATCTATTGAGCCGCCACTGAATGGCAGACTGGAGCTGTCATGGTGGGAAATTGATTTCATTTTTATCTTCCTCGAGTCATTTAGCTGGATAAATTAACATCTCAGAAAATTGTATTGATCAGATGTGCTTTTTCAAAGCTCATGAGTCAAAATTAAGTTTTATTAAAGTAATTTAAGTAATTACATAATTGATTTATTTCTGCATTTTAGTAGAATCATCTGAGTCAAAGAAACTGAGAACTCTATTACTCTAAGTCTCCTGATATATGAAAGAACATTCGCTTTGTCCTGGCCACGGTGACAGCAGAAATATTCAGTTGGCTCAGTGGACATTTGATGCCTTAGTGTCCTTTTCAGCTTACACTGTGGGACAAAGAGGTGACAGTGACTTCTTTGTTTATTCAAATTACATGCATTACATTTTCTTGTGATTAAAGCTTTCAGAGAAGTCCTCTAAGAGTTCTTGGTGAGTGACCCAAATATATTTCTCTTTGCTTTAGATATGGGCTGTGTCCAAAAACTAGTGGGCTGCCTACCTAGACCTAAATATATTTGGGTTTAAGGCATCACAGACACACTCCAAACAAGCAGACAATAAAAATATGCTATAATGACCTTACTTACTTTTTGTTTAAAAAATGTTTGACAAAAAAAAAAAAACACAAAGTCAAATTTAAATATAAGCACCTTCAAACGAAAGCGAGAGCACCCTCAGTTGATACTGTAATCAGTGTTGAGCATGTTACTTAAAAAAAGTAATTAGTTATAGTTACTAGTTACTTCTCACAAATAGTAACTGAGTTAGTAACTGAGTTACATCATTATAAAAGTAACTAATTACCAGAGAAAGTAACTATTGCGTTACTTAAAAAAAAAAAAAAATCAAATAGGCCTATGTCAAATAATTTGGATGCCCCCAGTATTAAATATGTTAAATTAATGAAATGGACACTTAATAGAGTAGATTAGTGTTCAATGTTTTATAATAATAATTTATTCTATTTTAATGTTGCTGTGGGACAATGTGAGAGACGACTATTAAATTCAATATATTATTCTAAATATTAGCATTACTATAGTAGAACAATAAAACATTATAGATGGTTTACTTAATATCGCACAGACCCCAACTGGCCAACAAATAAGTTTAAAAATAAATTATGCTTCTTAAGAAATGTACCAAAAATGAATAAATAATAATAAAAAAATATACATACTCTTTGTGCATATTAAAATGATAAAACTGTTACACAACTTCACAACTAGTAGACATACTGTAGCCTGAGTATTTTCTTCCTAACAAAAGTAAACAGTTTAACAAGTGCTCTCTCAATATAATACTAAACAATTTACCAAAAAAAAAAAAATAATAATACTAAAATATAATATTTTGGGGGTTTATTTTTATAACCTATAGCGAACGTCATCATCAGAGATTATTTAAACCAAATTCTAGACATGTTTGCCGCACGTGTTTACAACCGGTCAAACAAAGATGTTTTCTGTGAATGTTGCCTGGTTATTTTCGGGTTTATTTTATAACCTAAACAGAACGTTACCTGACGGTAATTTTTTAGATTGTATTTGTATAACCATGTAAATTAATTAACGTTCCAGATATGTGTCATTTATTTATAAACAAACTATATAATGCTCGGACACCCGTAGTCTCTCTTGCGCAACTGTTGGGCGCGCTCTCGGACACATTCGGTCTCTCTCGCGCATTGAGCGCGCTCGCGCCAATCGCTTCGCTTTTGTCCTCTCCGGCGCCTCATAAACACACACACACACACCAGAGAAAAAAACTTTATGGCGGAGAGAGAGCCTACTCGGATGAAAGCCGCTTCAGTGAGTTCAATTATAGTAACGCCACATTTTTTTTGTCAGTAACGGTAACTGCGTTGTAACGGGGGAAACAGTAATTCGTTTGATTACTCGTTACTGAAAAAGATAACGCCGTTAGTAACGCCGTTTATTTATAACGCCGTTATTCCCATCACTGACTGTAATAATATATTGGCGAAACAGATTTGGCAAACGCTCCAGTGTGTTTTTGTGTTTGGACTCTGGAGAACCTCAAATGTTTCTATTTACAACATGTTTTTGCAGTAGTGAGAAATGTAGCCAATCACAGTCATGTTTGTTGATCTCTTGAACGTAATGGCCAATCAATGGAGTTTAATTTAGTCAGAATATACTCACTGCTCAAAACGCCAGAGTTTTTACCCACTTCTGAGCTCTACACACTTGCGAATCCTCTCATTAACAAACAAAGTGTAGACACGATTTAAGTAAGAGATTCATTGTGCCGTGTAGACAACTTTATTGATTATAACAGAACTTTGTGAGATTGCGATGAACTGAGTGACATATTTTTAGTGATTATAATGGTAGCAGCTATATAATCCACTTAATTAAAGTTTTGTTTTTCATGCTGCTAAGAGGACCGACGGCTAGTTACATGCTGCAAAATTTCTCATATGAAATGCAGGATTCACTCTCGAAATTATAATTGACATTGTGATAACTATAGCACGGAACAAAAACATGGCATGGCAAGATATGTGCAATGTAAATGCAGACTAATTAAGTAAAAGAAAAATAGTCAAAATCAATAAGTTTTTGGTATTCCATTGTAATTATTTGTAAAATAATCTTAAATGTCTCACTGTACATTGCTATTCTTGTTATGGTAGAGCTGTTGCTTACGCATTATATCTGCCCTTTACTAGAGCACCCTCACTAATTTCAGATGCTCAGTGATTTGATTCTTAATTGTCCGTCACATCATGCCCGAACAACAGTTTAGAGAGAATCTTGCTGTGCAAGTTACTTAAAGGCAACATTTATAGCTACAGGAATAATAGGTCATCCGTTTAATAGCTTGAAACTCTATCACACTCTTGAGTACAAATGCAAGACTGTACATTAAAGTGCTCCTATTATGCTATTTTAAATGTCCCTAATTTTGTTTTGTGAGACAATTTGTCTCATATACCCAAATCTTCAGACTCAAGACAGTAGGTCTGGACCCCATAGCAGCTTTCATCGGCCAAGGACTGGCAAGAAGCCGTCTGACTGACATGTAAAGCAACCAATCACAGTTCGTTTTGTTTAGCATCATGTTTGGGGGAGTGAAAAGGTAATGTCGATGTCCTTACAATAACAGACTGGCATGGTAAACTCTTGGACCTATTTTAAAGAGTCTATGCCACATACTTCACATACTTTTGAAAATCCAGCATTTAGTTTATCCTGATAAGCACTCAGTAGCTATGTTTCCATTCGCAACTTTGCAAAGTTGGAATATCGCATAAAACATTTGCGAATAAAGCACCGTTTTCTTCCATGAGGGGGTTTGGCATCACCGCGGGTTTGTTTCCACCATTAAAGAAGACGACACACATATCCCAGAAAACCTGTTGGATTCAACCAATCAGACGAAGACTTTAAAACTCCTGAAGTGTTTCCAATTTTGTGTGCCATATGCACAAGACATCAGCCATCTGTTTGTGGGCGTGACGTCCGAGGCTGAGACTATAGGTTTACATGCATCCAAGGTCAAAAAATACTTGCATACTGCAAAATCTTTTCCCTCCAGCTTACGTTATTGGCATTTTTTAGATATGTGATCCAATTATCGTGGTGTAGCACAGATAGCATTGTGGGTCGACATAAGGAGCTGCAAAGCTGCATTAAAGTGTGATCTTAAAGCAACACATTGAGCTGGTAGTGCACCCACTCTCAATTTCTCCAGTGAATACGCATGTGTGTGGGTGTGCAGCTGAGGGAGGATGTCAGAAGAACTCATCCACACCTTAAAATAGCCTGTTTTTGCAAATAGCTGATATTTTCCATGAGCTGTTATCAAGGAGCCATAGCTGGAACCTCTCTGGAAAGGAAACACAGAGAAAATACAACACTAACAACCATTCAAGACATAGCAGTTTCAGTGTGCACGTTAGAAGAAAAAAAAAATGCATATTGTGGGGTCCAAAAGTCTGAGACAACCATTTCTATTACTTAAATTTGATACAAAATTGTTTGTTACAAATTATATAATCAGATTAGCAATTTGAGTGAAAAGTTTCATTTAAATTTACCTTTGCAGCTCACATAATCAGTCACAATTTGCTATCCCAGAAATTTGATTAAATATTTTCTGTCATTTTACATCAAAATTTAATTTAAATGTTAACTTCCAGGTTGTTGTTTTTTTGTTTTTTTTAATTCCAGGAAATTAATGTGACACTTTTGGACCCCACTATATTGTTAGCTGACTAAAAGATACAAGACATATCTGATATCTGATTTTTTCCAAAGGCTAATGAAACTAGCCTTGACTGAGTCAAAGTGGCAAAACCAATTATTAATAATCAGAATAAAAAAGAAACATGTCTTGAACATTTAAGAATTAGAAATTATTGTATGAGAATAAAAGCATTAAAAGCTTCATTTAAATAACATCTGGGGAGTAGAATGAATCATACATGCAGTCCAATGTTGTGGAACATATTGGAAAGGGATTCCAAAATGTGTAATACTGTATACGACTGGAAAATGCATTGGGCTTTAAAACGTATGTTCCAAGTATGAGGTCAAACCCCCTAATAAATCCACTGTATGTGTGTGTGTGTGGGGGGGGGGGGTCAGGCATTCCCTACGTTGTGGGGGCAAAATGTCCACACAACGGTGGCAATATCTGAAATCCTTTTTTTTGGTCCCCATGGGGAAAACAGCTTATAAATCATATAGAATGATGTTTTGTTGAAAATGTAAAAATGCAGAAGGTTTTGGCTAGGTTAAGGGGTATGGTAGGTTTAGGAAATATCGTAGAATATACAGTTTGTACAGTATAAAAATCATTGTGTCTATGGAATGTCCCCATCATGATACAGGAGATGGTTTGATTAGATTACCAGATGGTGAGATTGGAGCTTGTTAGGGTTAGGGTCTGTATTGTTATGAGTTTGCTACTGTAAAACCTTCAACAAACGAGACAACTAGACATTAGTCAAGAATGTATAAACTATAATGATTCTGATAATTTCTGTGTTATTTTCTTCCTTCTTTCTTCCTATTTGCATTTATCTTTTATAACTTTATTGGAAATCTGACAAGGTGGGTCTTGTACCCATTTCAAACTATTTTAGCATTTGAACAGACCCAGATTTGTAAATAGGAGCAAACCTCTGAGCTTATAATGAATTTGTATTTTCTCTAATTTACAGAGAAAGAGAACTCAGTTTAACAAAATCAAGCTACCTTTTGTGACCAGTTAACTGACTAAGCCATCATTGTAATTCCCCAGGAATGCAGTTTTAAATGGACATTGAAAAACAGTGCCAGGAATTACAGCCAAGTCCAAAAAGGCATTTTTATGAGATAAATTAAAACCATATGGACTGAAACAGGAGGAAACCTCTTTTATTCTACGTTGTTTATACAAAAACAGAAACACAAAGACATTTCATCTTTAAAATATAGATTTGATCCTTGTACTTTTAAAAATGAATTTTAGATCTGACTTAAAGGTGGCCAACTGGAAAACACATCAGTTTAATGCAGCTTTATATCCAAGATATGAAAATATCAGCGAGTGCTTGTACCTGTGAAAGAGTGAGACGGCTGCCCGCACGTTTGTGATATTTGTTGGGACTTTCAAACTTCAGTTCCTCCCACCGTATCCTCCAAAGCATCCCAGCTAACTCCTTCTCCAACTTCAGTTTCCTAGAAAAGAGCAGATCGCATTTAAGAAGTGCAACAAAAAATTTTTTTGGCAATAGTAAATGCTTACATTTTCCAGTGTGTTGTTATGTGGGTGCAAAGGTGTTTTGAGTGTTTTTGGTGTTATTATGTGGTGCTATGGTTGAAGTTGCTAGAGTTTTCTTGATGGTTGCTTATTGTCGCATCCAAACAATCCCACTCTCAGGTCTCTATGATATTATGGTCTCTAGATGTGGTTCAAGTCATTCCCTTAATATCTATGGGATTTTTTGTGTTTTATTATAAACTGCTGGATTTGAGGTATTCTTGTCTGTATATCATAAACAGTGCAGGACGACTGATTGGCTAATGTTTAATACTTTGGGTTAAGGGTTTTGAAAAAGTATAGCAAGAGTGATATGTGCCTTTGTTAGCACCACAAAAATGTTTTGGAAATTAGTCCAAATAACCCTTAAGGCGGGCATACACTGCGATTTCTGAAGGTTATACACCAGTAGATCGCATGCGATGTAAAGCCAAAGCTCAAAATTGATGTGCTCACACTACGATCCGATCGTCGAGTGCGGCTTGACTGCTTACACTATATGTGTGAAATATAAGCAATAAACCCCCGTGCCGGGTTGCTTAAAATTACTGAAAATTAAAATTACTGAAAATTAAGAGCAGAAAATACGTACGTAGTGAAAATTTCACTACGTATAGGCCTATAGGCAACAAAAGAAATATAAAAAAAGAAAAATGAAGACATGTATACACCATTGACCATTATCAGCATATGTTGAAGTAAACTTATCTCTCGTTGTCTCTGAGAGAATATGCATCGAAAGCTCGTCAGTTTTTACTTTAACTTTCTGTATGGTAAATAATTTACTCAAAATTGAGGTTTGAGACTTCTTCACCTTTTTCACCATTTTCTTCAAAAATGTTCAATATTGTGACGTGACATTTTTCTTTATCGCCAATTGTCAAATGATGGACAATGGTCCACATTTCCCTGTGATAACAAAATGAAGTAAATATCAAATCAATTAGTAAATAAAGTGAAAAGTGAAACAAGTAAATGAATGATCAAGTAAATTAATAAAAGAGGTGCCTATGTACATGCCAAAATTTCTGACATTCCAGAAATTCTTCCGACCATCCGATTGCTGGTACACTGCATGAACACTGCACGGCAAACGACGCGCAACAAAGCTGAAAATCGGCCCGACTCAAAAAAGAGTCGCACGAGTCAGAATTTGGCTCAAAATTGAAAGAAAATCGCACAGTGTATGCCCAGCCTTAGACTAAAGGTTCATCACCACCAAACTAAGGTGGAAACAATTTTTGCAGGAGGCTGAGTTGAAGTTTGATTGGGCGATAAAATGTGAGCCAATCTTAGGGTCACTGATGTTGTGCCCTTTCCAACATATTATTTTTAAACGCAAGTAAACCAAGCAGTCCAGCCAGCCATGTGGATACATACATGGGCAACTTCCAAGTGAATCAACACATCTGGAGGAACTCTCTGAGGACCTGCTATTTCTCAACAGCTCCTATTCACAGCAAAGATTGCTTTTTTTTATTACAAATCAATCTCTGAATGTTTCACTGATGTGGTCTGAGAGTTGCGAAAGGAGGATATCAATGAAGAGAAGCGTAATTACGTTTCAGAGCACTCAAAACAAAGTACGAGAAAATAAAGCAACCCCCACACATTCCACTACAATCTAAAAGGTGTAAAACATTTCCAGATGGCAGAATGTAACTACTGCAGAGTCTGCATTTCAACAGGGTTTTACTCGATTTTAGAGCCACCCTGGTAAGCCCCAAAACAAGCACCTTTATTTGTTTTTGTAGACCAGATTTTTGGAGGTAGAGGAGTGGAAAAAACCTCGGCAGGGTCTTCGAATTAAAGAGACAGGTTCAAAAATGTATGCTCAGCTTTTTGCCAAAGGGAAAATCCTTGTTCTAAAATGTTGAATTTCTATGAAGCGTTGCCTGAAGGGAACATCGTAGATTGGAAACTGTTTGATTGAGTGGCAAGGAGTTTACAGCACAGCAGTAGAAATATCCTGAATAAACCATACAAATAAAGAATAGGAAAATGGACCCAAACTGGATACTTCTATTTTGAAAGCTAGCTGGCGTTGCTCCATATATGATGTGGAAGCTCTTATTATTATTACACTTTCACATTGAAGTTGTTTTCCGACCAACGTCACTCACTGCAAGTGTATATGTGGCAGTTTTTCACTTAAAAGGTTAGTTTCTCCATAAAAATTCATGATGTTCAAAATCCGGAGGTTTTTTTCTTCTTCTGTGGAACACAAAAGGAGACATTTAGCAGAAAGTGCACGCTGCTTTTTTTGACAGTGATGAGAACTAAGGGCTGTCAAACTCCAAAAATGACAAAAAGCACCACAAAAGTAGTCCATCTCACTTATATGCTACATCTTAATTCATCTGAAATCATACAATTTCATACAATTAACCCTCTGAGCCCGAAGAACCCGCCGGTGTTTTTTATCCTCATGATAGCGTAAACAATCTAAAATACTCCATACATATAAGACATTATACATAATTATAAACTATAAAGGGTCTTCTTTTATTTGTGTACACTCACAATAACAACAAATCCTTGTGGTTTTGTAAAATAAAGAAAATAAACAGGGTGTCGCTTTCTCCGCGAGAAACTTTCTGAAAGACGTCTGAATAATGAACTGAAACTCGGCAAATACTTATCGCACAAACATGAAACATACGTCTTAAGAAAGCTTGAAATGTCTACTTTTAAATAAAACAATTCACATTTAAAACAAATATTCAAGATTTGTTTTATATTATTCTAATATATAAAAGTGTATAGCATATAAGCTATATAGCACCCTGTGGTTATAATAATTACTCATTATAATTAATAGAACAAATATGTTAAAAATATATTTTCAGGCTAAAGCAATAAATCCTATTCATTGCAATACTCTACACTATTTGGTCATGTTTTCCATGTAAAAAAAAAAACATCAATGGTTTCTCTTATTTGCACAGCATGTGTCACGATTAGTCACGCACTTCCTGGGTTAACTTGGACCACATTTCCCATCATACACCTCCCTGGACTGATTACACCAAACACCATACACCTGCACTGCACTGATTACATACACATAAAAGCCACTTCCACACACCACTTCTCTGCGAAGTCTTGATCTGCCCCGGCCATCATTTTTAAGGGTTATCGTCCCGTGTTTGATTCCCGTGTTTGATTCCCGTGTTTGATTCCCGTGTTTGATTCCCGTGTTTGATTCCCGTGTTTGATTCCCGTGTTTGATTCCCGTGTTTGATTCCCGTGTTTGATTCCCGTGTTTGATTCCCGTGTTTGACCTGTGGATTGTTTATCGTTGCTGACCCTTCTCTGCCTGCCCTGACCCTGGACTGTTTACTGGACTCTGATTCTCTCTGCCTGCCTTGACCCTTTGTTTGTAATCTGGTTTGTCTCTGCCTTGTCTCCGTTGCCCTGTTTGCTGTTGTTGATCCCTGCCTGTTTGACTACTCTAATGAATGCTGCGAATGGATCCCCTTGTGTCTGCTGCATTGCTACAGCATGGAGGTGTTCCTTTTAAATGTTACATTCTCATTTATATCCATAGCCTTGCCAACAGTAACTAACTACTGTAGCACCACAATTATTCAGTTTCATTAATAATAATAATAAAATCTTATAGTTCAATCTTAGAGCTCAAATGATAAACATGGTAGAAATGTCAAGGTCATGACTTTGATTCCCAGAAAAAACACATGCAAATACAATTTGTATGCAATGTATGTTACTTCTCATAAAATACTCTGCCAAATGTGTTAATGTAAGGTTAACATCTATGATGTTTCTTTTTAAAGAATCAAGTGGACAATTGAAAAGAGCAGCAGCATAACAGTTCTTCTTGCTCTAGTTGAAAAGCTCAATAATCAGAATAATGTTGATCAGCTTATATTCTTGTTACTTGATCCTTTTCGTTTCTGTTGTGTGAAATGTGTATGAGTGTGTACTGTATGTCTGAGTGGGTATTCTTATGCATCATTTCCATTTTAGAGTAATTTTTTTAAACCAAGTGAATGACAAGTCCAAGAATAAGTCTACCTCTGCTGCAACTGCAATATTTATTCTAGTAGCCATGAGGAGCTAACATCAATATTTGTCGCAAAGTGTTGACTATGCTGGAATTGAGCCCATTTATATAACCCATGAGTCAACTTCTACAATTCCCTTTTCCACAAGATGTCGTTCCAGACTATTCAGTAGTATACTCTATGATTTTATTAAAAAAAGGAAACACTAAATTTGTAGACTGAGTCAAGTAAACTGGGAAAAACAATTTTGGAAAAGTATATATGTGCTGTCTCGTGTGCTTCATTGCTTATTAACTCCTGACTTCACAAAAAAATATTTGATCTGCCTGATATCAGTGCAGACACATGCATGCAAACATGAGCAAACACTTGAGGAGCATTACTTAAAGAACAACACTTTTCTGCTTGAAACATCATGTTTGCCTTGATTTAAATTCAAATTTGTAGACCTATAACAATATTCATAATGCACAAACCATAGTCCACTACTTTCTATTTATCCTGCTCTATTTATTTGTCCCTGTCTATACATTATCCAACCCTTAACATTATATACTGCAGATTTTAAAGAAGTCAAATTATATAAGGCCTATACAATACATTTTTTAAATTTAAAAAAAAAAAAAAAGATTCCAGTTGCAATTTTATCACACAAGTTTGTGTTGAATATGTTTTCTGTTCTAGTTTATTACTATTATTATTGTTTAGGTCAACACCGATATTACAGTTATGGCTGAAAAATAATAGATTCAATATTAGTTGATAACAGATATGGTAGTGATATAACATGGATCCCTATTATTTATTATAAATATTGTTATTATTTTCATAAAATTCATATTTTATCTTGTATCATCACATCCTTTCTATTTCATGTGTTAGTTCAGAAAAAAATGCCTAATTTTATTATGCTTTAAGATACTGAAAAGATTATAGAACTCTCAGCACTGTTTCACACGTTTTAAATCAATTCCATACAATTCCCCGGATTTGCTTTAAAAATGCTCCCAAAATCAGCTTTAAAAATGCAACGTCCACAGATTCCGTCTGGGTCTAGTCATAATTGACGCAATGAGGTAAACATCACAGCCTAAAATTTGTTGAAAATATCAGCTGACCAAGTGTAACAAGCAGTGAAATATTTAGACTCTCTGCATTTGTCTCGGAAACAGACATACTTTCCAGTTTTCACTCAAACAACTGCTGAGCTGTTCCTCTGGCAACAATCATGTAAATTCCACTCTGGCACCTATAGAAGCTTTTCCCGTAAATCCTCTGAAAAAAGAAACAGCTGCAAGTTCCAGCATGTCCTCTTTCTGTGAACCCTTAAATAACACCTCTCTAGGGTATTCCAAGTGTTGTCATTAATCTGAAAACGAAAACTATTACTGCAAAGCTTGTAGTAAAAAAAAGAATGTACCTGTAGATAAGAAAACTGGAGATTCCGAAAATGATGAGGGCCAGTCCAGACCCAACTGCCACTATTCCAAGGACAGGAAGATGATCTGGGAAAGTAAAACAATTATACAAAACTAAACTCAGTAACTGACATTTTGGGTACACTGAGGGAGACTTCAAAATGAATGAATCGGGCCCGCTGATAGCATTTATTTGCACAAACTGCCAGCAATTAAGCGCTTGATTCACTAAATAAATTATGCAAATCACTTAACAGCAAAAAAAATCTATGTTGAACGAAGCTTGCACAGCGCAATTCCTGATCTTGCAGGTCTGTTCTGAGTGCCAGGTTGTGGAGGATGCAGCAGATTAAATCTATCAGGCTTTATTTTACTGGGACTGCACAGCCTCACTCCACCACTGCCATCTAGGCACCTTAATCAGACTTTTGAAATGCTGAAAAGTGAGCTCATCGACATTGTGCATCTGGATATATGCCAAGTTTTACCACTCTTCTCCACCTTTTGATGAATGAATCACTGCAGCTACTATGAATAGAAAAGGTACGCAAACATCTTTTTTCAACACTCAAAAAATTAATTCATGGGACCCGTTACCACAGATTATATAAATTCAAGGCTGCAAGTTATATTCTAATATATTGACTTAATTAAACATTTTAAGTTGCAAAAATTATTTTGTTGATTTCTGTTGACATAATAATGTTGATCATTACATCAACTTAATATTGTGTGTAATTTTAACTCAAATTTCGGTGTTAATTGATTTTTGTTTAAAAATTAAGTTGCAGTTTCCTTAATGAAATGTCTTGAATTTGATTTTTTTTATTTATTATTGGGCAGAGAATATCTAGTTCCCAGCATGCTTTGCATATGACTGGATAAGGAGAATAAATGTTGAAATTAAGTGTTCATTTATTTGTTTTTAGTGAAGGGAAAGACCTGTTAGTGTTTAATGCTGCTATGTTTGACATTTAAAAGACTTTCTGTATTGTTGATTGTGCTGAAGAGCAGACTACATGAAGGTAAATACTACATTGATTCAATAAGCAATGACTGAGCTAATGCCAGTGAGTAGTAATATCTTACTTGTTCATTTAATTCACATGCTAAATAAGTTACATTTAACATGTGCTATGATAGCTGTGTATTTTTAACTGAAATAGGTAAGATTTATTGATTCCAGGGCTACAACTCAATTAGTTGGAACGACTTAATTTTTTTTGACTAATCAACTTATAAATATGACTGTGTTCATGCTACAAATTATTAAGTTCCTATAACTCAATGTAGTTTGTTGGTGAAACGTAATTTTATTAGAAGTTCTTATAACTCAAAAAACAAATGATGAAAGTTGTTGCGTTAATTGTTTTTGTTAAGCCAAAACATCATTTTTGGGGGGGTGAAAAAATTAATAATTGTGCAAATAGCGAAAGAGTTTTGTGATGCAATCTACAATAAGTCTGGAGGTTTACAGTGCTTGCACTTCTGCTAAACACTGAAAAGTACACAATATAGAACATTCACAGATGACACATTTTAGTCAGTCAAAAATAAAACCAAACTGAAAAGAACCTTGATTCAGCTGATTAAAACTGAATAAGTAATCACCTTACAGTAATATACAATTGGCAAAATCGTGGCCTGTTCCTTTTTGTAAGTAGTCAGATTTCACTAAAAAGGTCCCTACCTTCCTTGCATGGTGAGAATCCACACGGTGGGTAGTCCAGAGGTGGGGAACCCTTTGGCCACTGAATCCTCTCTGTTGGGGACCACAAGACTTCTTTACTGGTCCCATTGTAGTGACCAACAGTCTGTGTAACAAGAAATATTCATAAACATATTTTATTTACAGTGAGCTGAAAAACATTTCAGATAAGAAAACAACATATTAAAAGAAAGATACACACAATGGCCTACCAACAAGACTTTTTTTTTTTTTTAAGTCTATGATCTCTGATGGAAAATATGTATTAGAATATATGAGATGATGATGTTTTTCTGCACATGATTCACTGTGTGTGTACATGCAACACTGTCTACTCTCTAACCAGATGAAAAGAAAGTCTGAATATATTGGTGAAATAAGGCAACTATGGCAACAATGCACTGTATAACTCAATCACTTTATTACCAGCTAAATAACCATTTATTTCACTTCTTTTCTTTTCTTTTTTGTTGTGATAGGCCTCTCTAAATTAAACAAGACTCCCGGTACATTTATGAATGAACAAGTCAAACTGAAAAATGAACACATCGCTTACAAGCTCATGAACACATGCTTTCGATTAGGACAGAAGGGCTAGTAAAGGATTTGATTTTTAAGCAACACATTATTTGGTATATCGAGCCGTCCAACCACAGCCGCATTTGCTGTAATTATGGAGCATGTGGCATGTGGGTTAAATTAGACTGTTGTTCTACATATGCTCGACTCTTTAACCATTGTTATTTATTGTCACCATGTCTATCAAAAAGATTTTCACTATGGAAACATTCCGCAGGAAAGCTACATCCTTCATTATGTTATTTCTTTGTTTGCTAAGGCAGACATCACAGTTACTATTGCTCACACGCAGGGGTTCTGAAACTCTTATGTGGCAGCAGCAGACCTTTGGATTCCATTGGTAAACTATATTGCTACGGTAAAAAAAAAAAATAAAGCACTTTTTAAGGACTTTTGAAAATTTGGTGATGCCAAAAACTTTCTCAAAACTGTGTTAGTATTTCTTATTTCTGTATTTATAAGGTGGCTGAATTTGTGGTAATTCTACTTACTGCGTATTGCCCAGTTTTTAGGTTAGTCATTCCCCAAAGTCTGAAGTCTGTGTATCTGGCATTAATCCGATCTGTGCTTACAAGGCCAGTCACCCCTGTGATGAACAAACACAAGCCCAGGGATCAAATAAACATTTTTATCTGAGTGTTGCAGAATAAAAAGATCAGATATTGGTTTTTCTTTGTAAGCCAACAATAATTTTTAAGACACATAGAAAAAAAATATTATTGAGAGAGGAGGCGCTATCATAGCTCAGGTTATGTATTAGAACTGAGCAAATTAATTCAATTTCAATTCAATTCAAATTTATTTGTATAGCGCTTTTCACAATACATATTGTTTCAAAGCAGCTTTACAGAAAGTGCATTTCAGAAATGTACATAGAAAAAATACAGACAAAATAAATTAAACATTTAAAAGTTCTGAAAACAAGATCAATTAAGTTGAGAGGCAGAATCATGAGAGACTAGAATATATCTTGAATTGCGTGTTTTGGGCCCCATACATGACCTTCAGAAGAAAAAAAAGATATTGTTTTCTGAATTTGTTCCCTCTGTTTAGTTACATCATGGCAAGGTTGTACTAATAAATTCCTTCATTTTAGTTACATAATGTGCAGAGTTCTCTCTAAATTGATCTTGTTTTCAGTATGTTTAAATAATTTTACTGAAAATAAGACAAAAATACTGATTAAGAAAAATACTTTTTGCAGTGCATTCAATATTCTGTCTGGTTCCTGTACGTGTTTGAAACAGTGTGTGTAGTTTCCTTCAGGGAGAGGGCTCAGCAGATGGGTTGTGTATTAGAAACAGATTTTCCATTCACAAGCTAGTTGGGACATGCTTTAAATCAAGGACTCTGACCTCTACACTCCCTGCAAGAGAGGCTGAGAGTTTACCAACATCGACCTCAGAAGAGCTCTTACAAGCCCTCCGCTCACTTTAAAAAGAATCCGAGCAAAGTTGCCAAAACACTCCAGCTTGACACTGCCGCTAAAAAACAGATACTTGTCATCACATCCTCAAACTGTGAAGGGCCTAAATGTTGTTATCTGTGACCATCCTGTTGAAATGAATGTCAAAACATCATAGGATCATATTGAGAAAGATTTTATCAAACATATATCTTTGCATTTGTAAACCAAGACCACTCAACACACCCCAGATCCTGCGGTTTCGCATTCTCGCAGTTATGTTGATTCCATCGTTCTGAGACACGCCGTCTGCTAACGCTTCACTGAGGGCTTTTGCATATAGCACAAAACCATCATGGAAACAGCCGGCAATAAAATCCATCTGAGGAAAGGCAAAACAGAGCTTTAATTCAGGGAAACATCAAGAAATCTAAAACTACATGTCATTCTGTACAGACATAAGATCTGCCAGTTGTCCTCTAGGGAAGGAGAAATGAGGTGAGGAAAAACTAGCAGGCTGTCCATTGATGAAAAATGTAATTGAATTAATTATTAATTTGGCAGACCTAATTTCAAGATGGCTCATATCAGCTTTTTATAAAAAGAAAGCATCTGAAACATAGAAAGATGATGTGTCCAATGCATGTTTCAATTGACACAATTTTCCCTGCATTAGGGGTCAACTGAGTCCCATGGTAAACGGAATAATTTACCTTTTCCAATAGTTTTGAGTGTAGCATTAGAGTTCAAAAAACATTTTGGAGCCACTGTAAACATCTTTACAATGCATGATAGACTGGATGGTAATTAGTATAATTATTGTAAGCAGAAGTTTGATTCATAACTTTCTCATAATTGCAATCCATTTTAGTATGTACCAGTACTCAAAGTCTTAAATAATTAATTTCATGAATGTTTTCATTTGGCAGCTACATGTGGATCTAGGGTTTCGGGGAGTTGTTTCCTACTTTTGTCAAAGGGTACAGCTGATTCAGGAAAATGGGACTGACATGAGGAAGCCAAACTTATGATTCAAGTGCTTTTAAGTGTCATATCTGATCTTGTGGTAAAAGGAAACACAGTTTAGCTCCTGAAAGCCTATAGAGCTGAACAGAATGTTCAATATTTTCAAGACAGTGATAGTAGGCCAAAAAAGAACTATGTAGTCTGTACACATGTTCTGATTAAATCTGATGTGACAGATGGCTCTGCATATGTGCCAATACCTGATCTTGTTTATGAGCAACTCACCATTGAGGGTTCCAATTTTATATTAAAGTCCTGCATTGCTCTCTTGTGGAGTTCTTTGCGAAAAGCGGTATACTCAGGGCTGTCTGGCTCCCGGTACGTTACAATGAACACAGACTAGAGAGATGGGGGGGGAAAAAACAGTAAAATAGCTAAGAGTCATAAAAAGAACATAATAAAAAGAACATAATGTGATCTGACCTGTAGGAAAATATTCAATTCCTGACACAATAAGTCGCTGAAGATTTTGCCAAATGTTTTTACTGATGCCAGACACGTGATAAAAACTCAGTCAACACAATTTACAAAAAGGGAAGGTTCACCCAAATATGTAATTTCTGTCATCATTTACTCACCTTCAAGTCAAACCCAATTGACTTTCTTTCTTTTCTTGACTTGTATTGTATTCAAGGCATTCAATAGCTTAGTCTGAAGAACAGACTAAAATTTATGTCATTATTCACTGATAATCTTCACTTCCAGCTCATTGAGTCGGTGAACTAATCAATCAGACTGGTTTTGTGAACCTAATCAGCTGATTCAAAAAATGAATTACACATTTAACAACTTATATTCCAGTCTGTTTTTCACACTAAGCTATTGTGTTTCTTCTGAACTTTTATGGTGTGTTTTTTTTAAAGCTTGAAGGCTTCGGCCCCTTTTAATTGTAATTGCATTGAAAGTACGTACTTCAAAATTTCTCATTTTGTCTTTGTGCATGTTTCATCTAGTAATACTTGCAGTGTATTACTGTTCTGATTTCTAATTTTAGGTGTTACATGATGTGAAGGTGTATCTCTACTGATGCCAGAGTTATCTGTTATTAATAATTGTATCTTTTGGATTGTGTCCATTCAGTCAAATAAATAGAGTCAGATGTGAGCTATAAAATTACTCATGTTGTGATATAAAATGTTGCCACCCACCTCTATTCTTCTCTGCATTATGACACTGACAGCTTGACACTACATACAAAGTCACTGTCTTTTCATATTTAACTTTAAGTATCGGTGTCAATGGAGGAATATTTGACAATGTAAGAAATTTCTCAGGTTTATGTTCTGATTTATGGACTTTTACTTTGCATTTCCTTGTTTGCGTGTGTTCTGTTCCTGCTTTCTTTCGCCATTTTACCAGAGATTGTCTTATTATTGGGAGATGAGAGGGTCTGTGGCTCTTACCATTGGAAAAAGGGTAACAGTTAACTTGGATCTCGTGAAGCACCTCAGCCTATCATATAATTGCAGTGACATCAGTGGCCAGCGTTAGTTACAGTTTACGTTACACAGTTTCTGGTGGATTAGCGCGTTCGTCTTGTGAATAATATTCTATATTTAGTGTCATATCGTACAGTAGGACTGCAATGTTTGTGGAATGTGCTTTACTGAGCGGTGAAAAGAGTGCAAATTGCTCTATTAGCTATTAGCTGATCACTACAGTGCGCATTAAACCACATTTAAGATTAGATTTAAATCTATTCATTTAAAAACAGCTTTATTGTACATACACAGCATTGATACTACTCACTAAAAGTATTTGTAATTTAATTGTTGAAATCTGGAAGCCATAGAAAGAATACCTTTATTTATTAAAATCTTTATATTTTGTTTACCTTCATTCATTAAAAAGCGTAATATCAATCTCAGACATACACAGCAGTCATAAATCATTCCGATTCCAGTCTAATTCATTTGTTGAAACCTGGAAGCCATAGAGAGTACACATCATTATTTAATTTATTTTTTCATTAAAAAACAATATAATACAATATGTATAATTAAATTATTAATTTTCTCTGTATTCATTAAATTCACTATTCAGCATCATAGTGTACATGGCAGTCACAGTCATTCAAGTCTTATTATAATTGGTAAAATCTTAAAACCAAAGAAAGGAAACAATTTTCTTTAGACAATATACAATATCACTCATATCACAGTTATGTTGAGTTTGTTTAGTTTTTAAGGACTTTTAGTTCGTAGGCTATTCTCTAGTCACGTGTGTTCCTTTGTTTGATTTCCCCACCACTCATCTGTTACTATGGACACTAACTCTATCATCACAGCTGTTCGTCTTTTGGTTAATCACTATGTGTATTTAAGTTTCTCTTGTTCACTCAGTGTTTGTCCGGTTACCGTTGCATTTAGTGTTACATGATGCCTGCCTGCCTGCTATTTGTATTATTCTCATTAAAGCTGCAGTCCGTAGCTTTTTTAAGTTAAAAATAATCCAAAATAATTATATTAAAAAAAACTTATTCTGCCAGTGGTCAAAACTATCTGCTTGCCATAGCTAGATTCAAAACGGTTAGCTTGTAATAATGATTTTAATTCCAGTGGTACTGGTGGGTTTCCGCGGGAAATTCGAGCATGTCTTTGCGTCATTACGTCACACCCGTACACATAAAGAAGGAGTTTCGGCTAGCCGGCTATACTGCGCGTGACGAGATGTTTAGATGTATAGGCTTTTCTCGCAGCACTTTACATAATTAAACTTATGGCATCCAGAAAGATCCAAACAACAATCATCAGTGTCAACTGGAGATTCAGCAGTTATAAAACCCAAGACTTCGTACTTCGGATTTAAGGTGGCTAGAGAAAGAGAAAGAAACCGTCTCATGCGAACACAAGGATTTAAACATCGTCGGGGCTTTTGAAAAGTGCGTGAACACGTTTTGAAGGGGTTCAAAACGGAAGAAGAGACGGCTTTTTCCTGCTGAATAAGTAAGTTAAGACATTTCAATAGTTCAATCGTGTAACAGTACGTTTTCTTAATTCACACAGTTATGGAGTTTCCTTTGTTGTGCCTTTCTCGTTTTGCTATTATGGAGAATATGAATTCTGAACTACACAACACAGGTAACCATAAAACACATTAAATTTAACATTAGTCACGCAATGCTGATGTGATGTTGTTAACATGAACAATTTGAGAACAAAGTAGGCTATAATTTGCACGGTTGCTGTAAATCTTGTTGATTAAATCTAACGAAGCTTATCATGTCGAATGCTTTTTTCCCCCTTAGTTGGTCAGAACAAAAATGGATGTTACTTACTTGTTCAGAAGACATTTTCTTATGAAAATTCTTATGTTGGTCAAACTTTCAAAAAGTGAATCTGTGATTCTGTATGACAGTATCCACACAGCGAGGTGACTTACAGCACCACTCGCCTCAAAACACTGTGTTCATCCGCGCTGTTTCATGCCGATTTACTACCCACGTAAAGATGATAATTCCGCGAATCACTGCAGTTACAGATTTCGAACAGAGAGATGGCGACAAAGAGGAAAAGCTACGGACTGCAGCTTTAAACTTCTTATTGGAACTTTATTCTTTATCTTCGTCTGTTTGCATGTAACAACCCGTGACAACTCAATATTACACAATGCCAATTATTAAATACTACTACACATTTGCTGGTGGTGGTAATGTTGTAAATAAGTCCTACCTGTCGTGACATTTTCTAAATACCATTTTTACGCTTTTTTGGCTAAAAGTTGCAGGCTTGCCTTCCAGTGGCTTTGATTTTCCCGCTTATTTTCTGTTTCCTAGGTTAGTGTTTATGTCCTTGTTTGTTGTCATGGTTATTGATTGCTTTGTGCACCCATTTTTGTCCTGTGCATTCAAGCCCTCAGTTTAGTTCTACTCACATTCTGGCATCGTCTTTTATTTAGTGAAGCTGTTACATTGATCCCTGCCTTCTGGATTGCCTTAGCCTTAGTTTTTGTAATTAAACTAAAGCTGCTGCAATTAAGATCCTCTACTACTCCACTTTCCTTGCCTACACTGTGACAAAAATGAGTCATTCCGTATGATAAAGTTCACACACTGAATGCTCCATTAATGACAACTAGGAGGCAAGATCGATTAATAGAATAGTTGATAGTTAATAGAATGTATTTAACTATGCACTTACATTAAATATATATATAATTGTTAGGCACAATGTATTGCGTTCATGTTGTATTGCACAACACTTGCTGGTATTGAGGTGGGGTATGGGTAAAGGTTAGGAAGAAGTTTAGTTATATGTTTAAGGGTTTTTTTAAGTTGTGAGGAAAGGGTCAACAGTGTAATTATAGATTACAGAAATGAATTACAGCTGTAATTACATGCAGGTATTTTTTTGTACAATGTAAAACATGTATACACAGTAAGTGCATGGTATAAAATTATTAATTTAAATGTTAGTAGCCTTTATAGTAGTTAAAGACATTCATATAAAGTGGGACTGGATGTTGTGTAATGCACATTAAACTGCCAAAAAGGAACAGCTCCAATTCAAGTTTCTCTAAAGTACCCTCTAAATTGTTACTAGGCTGTTTGACTCAATTATCTGTCAAAAAAATATATATTTTAAAGACTGAGTTTAAAAAGCATGACAAGAAATGGTACTTTTAATGGCACAAATGGATTTTGATGGAGAGTTTGAAGATGGTTTATGAAAAAAGGCAAAAAGCCTTTTAACTATAAAAATAAATCATATGTGTTGCTGTTGTTTACATTTACACTTAATAACACATACAGATATATATTCTCTGTCGATTATGATACGTATGTGGAATTTAAAGAATAAGTTATTAACTATAATGTTATATCTTTCGTTGTCAATTAAAGTAAGATAAACTAGGGGCGATAAGGGGTGGGGGCCCCCAATGACGTGTGCCCCATTGGACCACCCTAGCCTTCTGCCCTTATTAGAAAAAGTAACTCCTATGTATTATGTACATTTAATTGCAATCTTTTTATTTAACATGCGTTTCTTCTTCTTTTCTCAATGTTGCATTAATCAGCCTTAAGAGAAATTACTCATTTAAGTAAATGGAAACCTAATGCATTATTCACAATCAAAGTAACCAGGAAGGCTTTCCAACTAAGTGAATATCAGTCAAATTAATAATCTAAACGACTTCAAATTTAATTCTGCATGCAAGAAGCACATTAACATGAAGAAGTAGAAAAAACTCACTGAGATCATACAAAACCTTGAATCACAATGTAAGGTTGAAGAAATTCAAAGTGTTAAGTACTGTAGCTTCTTGACCAATCTTAAAAGCAAAAGCAAATAAATGCCACTGGTGATGCTAAAGCAAAGCTGGGTAGTTACTATGGGTATTATTAATGATACCTGAAATAGCTTGATGGGGTCATTCCACTGTATTGTTGAACCCTGCCAGGGCATTGGAACATCGCCACTTAAACTCTCTGCAAACACGTCAAGGTAAAAGATGGCATAGTCCTCTGGATTCTTCACCTCATCCTCAAAGAGCTTCATTATTTGGAAGAACGTCTGTAGAGGCCCAGAGATATAAACAACTATGGTAGAAAAAAAAGAAGACCAAAAAACACTTTAGATAGAAACTAAATTTTTACATTTCCTAATACAAATATGACTGGTGTTCTAAATGTTCTTAAGGCTGCGTTTACATTTGGCATTAACTTGCGATCAACGTGATACAAACAAGAGGAACGGATAATCAGCCAATCAGGACACGGCACATTTACATTTGTTCACATCAAGTGGCCCCTGTATCTGATCGGATATCTCTTTCCCCGCAAAATGTTTAAATTAGGTCTGCAGGCCTTTATCACAGAGTGTAAAACAACTTTCGCTTTAGCCTCTATCAATGGCAGTGGCCATATAGCATGGGAGTTTTGTGATTTATTCATTTACAATCAATCTCAAATAGGTTACTTAATCTCCCAATTTAAGTTTCCAACATTAGACTTATATGATGAAACAAAGAAAAATTGTATTCCGGCGCATTCCATGATTGAAAGGAAAGCGCACAAGCATTTATATAGGCTATGTGTAACATGCAGAAAACGTCAGAATCTGCCCACCTTTTAATTAAAGAAATACAACAACATAATAAACAACACATCAAAGAGCATTAATTAGAACTAAACAAGGGTAGGCTATTGATAAGCTACGAGTAAAAATAGGACAAAATAAACAATGCTTGAATTGCTTTCATTTACTAATTTTACTTTCTGATACGATCTCCAGTTTTAGATCAAATTAGTCTGTTTTCGTTTGAAGTCCACAGTAGTCGATTGTCGAGTTCGCGCGCGCGATCATTAGTTATATTAGTTACCAATGATTTCGCGCGCGAACTCGACAATCGACTACTGTGGACTTCGAACGAAAACAGGAAGTAAATACAGGTATGTGAGCTGGCTGAATTAACATCATTTTTATTAATATCTTTCACATCTACTGCAGTCAGATTGACCGTGGTCACTCTTAATAACACCACTCACATGGCTGTGCACTTGTAATGATAAATCAAGGATGTTAAGAGGCTAAAAGCAGGTTTAGAACTTGCCCCATTGAAGTCAACAGGGTGCGAATTTTAAAAAGAGGATAACACGGTGTAGGCAACACCGATTTTTGTTGTTTTTGTCTGTACTGACAGCACTCCAAATGTACAAAAAAATGAGCTCAATGTTAAAATTGACCGAAGTTCTCCTTTAAGAAGATGCATAAAATAATGCATGGCACCATATTGATGCACACGTGAAATCTTTTGTGTGTGTGTGTGTATGTTTTCCTTGGCTGCTATACTATGGTCATTATTTCCATTAGCAGTGTCTTTCAGTATTTCTTCTGCCAGCTCAGGAGCCAGACTCCCAGTTAGCAGACATTTCCTTAAGTGTTAGACCAAAGCCAGCCCCTGTCTGCCTCTCAGCCCCCAAATTCTAAGCTCTTCCACCATAGCATAGACAAACGCATGCCAAGTAGTCCTGCTGTCTCCTGGATGCGCTCCAAGACAAATGTACAAAAAAGCAAGGAAAATGTTCAACGGTGTTATAGAATTTATAAGGATCTGCCTGAGCTGCCAATGAATAATGTTTGAGAACATTTTGTTTCAAAATAGTCTACGATAAGATTCCGAAATGTGTTTGCGGTTTTGCGGTTTTTGTTTTTGTTGCACTTTTGCTCTAGGTCGTTTTTGTTAGTCATGCCAAAGACATTAGTTTGTATTGTGAAATGTACAAAAGATGCTCTGTTGTGGTTTGTTTATTCAAAATTGTCACAACTTGTCTTTGAAAATGACTCTTTTGAAAATATGTTGAAGAAAAATAAAAGATGTTATTGATCCACTCTATCATCTCAGACATGTCTGAATTTGATATGCTGTGAGTCATTTTTTTGTTGTTTGAGGACTGTATATTTCCTTTAATTGCAGTCTTTTCAGGAGTGAAACACTCTGGACCATTATTGGTGCAATTGGTTTGTGTTCGGAGTGTGTGTAGTGCGCTGCATCTGCAATAGATTGTTCAAGCATTTGAGCAAGCGAATGCTCGGTCTTTCATACACACACACATAAACACAACTTGGTCTTCTATTCAGCTATTTGACATTTGGTTTTAATCTGCTTCCATTCATTTGAGAGTTTTTTCGGCGATTTCTGACATCTTATTGTTTGCTTGAACACCTTTTGTCATTATAAAAAATAACGTTTAAATTATGATTCAGTAACAGATAAATCAAGAAAGCATCCCAATTGCTCATACTTCAAGTTTTTGAACGATTAGATGCCTGCCTTAACCATCCTTGCAAGCTTTGCACAAGCAAGACCTGCTCATACTTTTTTTTTTTTTTTTAATCATTAGTTATAGTTAGAAAACGTCTCGGTTACGTATGGTAACCCTCGTTCCCCGAAGGAGGGAACGGAGACATACATCAGAGATGATCTGACAGAATGGGGATCTCGCTTGAGAGACCAATCCACTTCGAGTGTAAACTAAACGGCATGCGATAATTTGCAAGAGCTGCTGTGCCTCGTAGCGCGAGCATATAATGAGCAGAAGGTGCGTCACATCTTTGTTTTTCCGCTGAGGAGCCGGACCTTGTGACTCGGCCGTACAGCGGAGGCTCAGCAACCGTGCCGATGGGACCTACGTCTCCATTCCCTCCTTCGGGGAAGGGGCGAGAAAATGTATTTGTCCCTACCCATCTGCTAGGTTCAGCCCGAGATGGCATTCCTGGACCACAAATGGACATCGTCTGCCCAAGGGACCACTTGTGGTCCAGTGACTTTCGTCGCACGTAGGGCGAGGTCTGTTGCTGTGGGCAGTTCCTGCATCAAACCTGGGTCAGAACTACTCTTGAGCAGCTCTTTGAGTGCCTTTGCCTGATAGACTTGCAGGAGGACCATGGCGTGTAGGGCAGAGGCGGCCTGTTCAGCGGCTCTCTAAGCCTTCGCCGTAAGCACGGATGAGAACTTACAGGCCTTGGATGGGAGACGCGGATTACCCTGCCAGGCGGTAAGCGTTTTGTGGACTCGGCAGCCTAGCCCCCACTGTGATCCTCAAGTCACTAGTGTATTCACCGAAGTAGCCCTCTGCTGGGCAGAGGAACTAGATCGGGGCATAGCAGAGGGGACTCCACCTCTCTCAAGGTACTCGAGTCTCGACAGCAGCATCGAGATGGTCATCTTCCCACTGTGGGTACATGACTCATTCACAAAAGCCACCTCAGTGTGCTCTCGGCCCAGACACGTAAGGCAGTGATCGTGAATGTCAGACGGAGACAGGAAACGACCACATCTGACATCTTTTTTTAAAAGCTGCAATGAATGCAGAGAAAATACTCTTTTAGACTGTAATAAATGCAGAGGAAATGCTATTTAAATGGCGACCACCGCTGACACGCCAACACTCTCTGGAGAGCTTCTTCCGGGTTTGTAGAACACTCATACAGGTGATTGCAGAGCAGAATCACTGAAACGCTCAGCTCCGAAGCCAAAGCTTATGTGAGCTCACAAATCTCGCTCGTCACTGTCCATTGGCTTGATTCGTTTACACTCGAAGGTGATTGGGGTCTCAGTCGAGATCCAAATTTGTCAGACATTCTGACGTAAGGTCGAACGTGACTGACTGATAGTCAGTTTCCTGAATATGCTGTGTGAATAAAAAATCACCATCAAATGTTCCACAAGCGCACCATAAAATGATCATACATGTAATAAATGTTATTCTTGTGCTGTAATTCAAATTTTCTGAATCCATATGATTGTGTTGTGTGGGGAACAGAATCAAATTCAAGTCTTTATTCAGTGATCTTCGTCTACAACTTAGTGAACAGTAGTGAACACAACCTTAAAAACCTACACTCGTAAAAAATAAATAAAAGTTTGCCATTTCAAGATGAGTTACAACAAAGGTTTTATGTCAGTGATATCAAATACTCGTTGGCTCTCATGAGCCTCATCATTGATTGCGACATAACATGATTTGGGTGATGTGTGCTTTTGTGGTGCCTATATATTTCACAAGTTCACACTTCATATAAAAGGTTATGCGTATTTGGCGTGTTTGGCCCAATACGGCCCAAACCCAGAGTAATCCCACCAGGTTGTGATAGGAATAGTTAAACTAGAAGTGAGGAGATGGGGTGGTGGAGGGATGCTGATAAACTGTCAACGAACAGAGGTAAGTCTGCTGTATATACCTCTTATCTTATGTTTAGGTTTGGGGATAGAGTTAAGCGATCTAAAATCTATAATACCGTAAAATATTTGCTATATAAATATACTTATGATATAAAGGATTCATAAATATTTGACATTTCTATAGCTGTAAATACGTAATACTGTTTATGCTTTAGATACTGCCAGTACATCCATATTGTACATTTCAACATCTACCCAAATATACAAAAAAGTATGCTTTTGTACCTGTAAATATTATGTATGAATACCTTTGTATAAACAATGAGACCAGGCTGGACAAAAATATGATAGCCTCTGCTGCTATCTAGGATCTTTTCAGGTTCAATGAATCCCTGTTTCACACATCTAAACCAAAAGAAATAGAAAATGTGTTATTTCATGTGCTCTGACACAAGGAACTGTGGTTCTCAGGTGGATAATAAAAGTCCTGCTTGCATCATTTTCTTGTCCTACTTCCCAATCATTTCTTGTCTCATTACTGTGTCTAACCAATAAAGAGGCAAAAAGACCACAAATACAAAAACAAACAAACAAAAAAAGAGGAAGGAAAAAAGGTTTGTGATGATATTTCACAGCCTCTGGGCCGATCATTATCTCATCAACGCATGGAATGTGAGTTCACAAACTGAACAAGCCCAAACAACAACCAAAAACATGAATTAATCTGACCTCAGGGTCATAGCAACTAAACTCATTGAGGAAACAGTGAGAGACATTCTGACGTCTGAGACGCCTTTGCAAATCATTTCACAGGGATTTTTACAATATGCTTTAAGATTGTCAGCACGCAAACAGGATTAGACTGTGAAATTGTGTATTATTGAAAGAATAAATTATCATCCCCCTACTGAAGGTTATACACATCTAAGATGGTTTATGCATCTATACATATGAAGTGTATAAGACCGATATATAAAAATCAACCACTTGCGGCTGTGCTACAGTGTGTTACAGTGAATGACAGTGTAGTAACGTGGTGTGTTACAGTGATTATACAGTGGCTGTACTTTTATAAAACACTGTAATGGCAATATATAAACACTGTTCAATTATGTGCAATAAATGGCAAATGTATTAATAATAATCAGAATAAACATTCCACAAAGTAAAATAGTACCGTTCTACGTAGTCTATTCTTTTTAACATAGCTTAAAAATGTTTAACAAATACATCCACTGCCTACCCTGAAACGCTTGCCTTATATTATATTACAGAATTTTTTTTTTTTTTTTTTTTTAAAGCTTGTTTCAGATTGATTAGTTTAGCATTACTGAAGTTAAATCCAGCTCAAAAGGTTGTGCATGGCACCGCCTCACTCATTACTTGCAATATGTTAATAAATGCATCTTACGAGGGAGTGGCTAATCAGGACCTGTAAGCAGCCAATCAAGCTAACAGCAGCAACTGCAAGCAATTAGCCATAAAATTACTCTAAATGTTCACACACTATAACAGGGTAGTTAAATGTCTGAACAATCTAGACATGTTGAGCGGCTCCCAAAGGCTACTAAACAATAAGGTAAATATTATCAGAAAAATGTAATGTGCTGATGCTATCACTTATTTTGGTGACGTACTTCAGTAAACAGGCTATGCTGCGGATAAAGCCAAACATGACAGAGCGAGGTTATGATAAGAGCAGAAATCTAGGGGCAGTCTCAGTATAAAATTAAATGGATTATACATCACTGTAATTCAACCTTCTTTTATTTTATATTTATTGATGTTAAATGAGCATACTGCAAGTATTCTTATAACAAACAGTGTCAAAGACATGGTTGTACATGACAATTAATGTCTTTGTGCAATGCTATAAGCCACATGGTGCTTTCCTTTGCTTTGCATGTTCAAAGGAGACACTGGGAGACATGGATTTGTGTTGCCATGGCAGTGTGGATTCAGCAAAGGAAAACATATATCTGACTTGTTTAGATTGAGGGATGAATATTTAAAACGTAGAACATGTAACTGACAAAGGTTATTTTTATGATTGGATTTGTAATATTATAATGACTAAACTTAGAAAATTATGTATGCTGTGCAAATATAGTTCATAAACTATGAAGAATTCCAAATCATGAATCAGACATTTTAAAACAACTAATTAAGCTTCAAGTTCAGAGAGTAGTCTGCGGTTGTGTTTAGGTCAGTGCATTCAGGCTGCGTAACACAATTCCTACATCTGATTGTCTATGTGGCAAATACAATGTAATCTGTCAATTATTTACAAAACTCCATATATAAGGCACTAGAAATACAAAACTGAAAAACAGTAGGACCATCTAACCAATAAATGCGGTCTGATCATTCTGAATGGGCTGCATCTTGCCTGCCAGCTGCAGATGTGTTCAGCCCCTAACCAGACAATCCTCTATCGATTTGAACAATTTCAACAATTAATTGGTTTTATTTAACAAACATTTTCATCACATGCAACACTCAACTCAAAAAATTAAATGCATTCAGCTCAAACTGAATTCAAATCAGTAATAATGGTCTTAAAAATGTAATAAAAAACATAATAATAAAATATTTTTTAGAAACTAATTACTTTAAAGTGAAAACTATCTGACAAGACATAATAATGGTACAGCTCTATGGTCAAAGAAACATTGTGCCTTACAAATTGCCATTTATAATTGTGCTGATGCTTTGGGGGGAAAAAACCCCCCAAAAATTTAATTTTCAATGCCTATTTTGTTTTAGAAGACCATGCAACTTTTTTGTGTGTATATATTTAGAAAGAGAAAACAATAAAGCGATATAAAAATCTACATGTGAAAATCTGTTTATTTGTTGCAACACTCTGTTATTATCGAGCATTTCTTACTCTATCTGAGAGCACACTAATCTAAAATATTTTCTGGAGAAAGAAAAAAATGGTGAGAGAAAAACAAACAAGCAAACATTGTTCTCTTCAGTTATTTAACTCTGATATCATCATTTTGGGGTAATAGCAGTTGGCCTTTCTCTACATAAACAACAAAATCTAGAAATCTGGACTTAATGCATCATATACTTTAGTATCATTATGTAATTAGTGTTGATGCATTGAAACCCAGTGACCAGCTGTGTACTCTCTTATTTACTCTAAACTAGTTTAATTAATGACATTAAAATACATTAAATTGTGCTGTGTGAATCTTAAGGGAAGTAAATAAAAATTAAGACAAAAAGACCTTGGTGACATTATGTGTTCTCCTCATTCCATGTATTATTTCAGCCATGCCACAATAATTGTGTTTGACAGCTCAGTGGGTTAGGGGGGTTATGAGAATGTCAAGAACTGTAACAAAGCAAGGAATCAAGCTGAAAATAATGAATTTGGAGGGTTTTCTGCAGCCTCATAAGTTCAACAAAAAAAGCATGTTTTTGCAAGAATCATTTACTTGAATCAACATAAAAGAACATACAAGTTCAGTGTATTTGTTTCTGGGGTCTTTAAAACACCAGGTCATTTGTAATTTTGTAAGGAACTAAAAAAAGTTCTGATGTTATTCTACTGCTCAATGAATCTAAATATTTTCTGTTGAATTATACATTTTAAATTCTACCTACACATTTTCAATAGTTAAAGAACTTCTAAAGGACTGTTAAAAGCCGTGTTTGGTAGATAACTGAACACAAGTCAATACATGTTGTTGACTGCATTGCTTTATTAACAGTGAATAGGGTGCATGCCCTCCTGTTTTGGTGGTGCTGTAAATAACTTGCACAGGGCACCACAGGTCCAAAAATACAGCATGGGGGAACACAGGTGGTGTCAGTCCTAAATGCTATCAATGCCTCATTGTAGTCTTCCGATTTTAGATATAATGGATCAAGAATATCAGTGTGGTTGCCATGGAGGGATGCATGCAACAACACAAACATGCTTTATTGATTAAAGAAGGTAAACTGTTCAGTGACCAAACATGATGGTAAAAATGTGGTATTTCCCAAAGTATATGGTAGTACTATTTCTTTTAAATATCTTGGAATGTACCATAGCATATGGATATGTAAATTAACTTATTTTCCCAACTGTCCTTTATGTGATGATTGCTTTCTAACAGAAATTTTAGAGATTTTTATATCCTTATATATATGGAAGGATGCATCATTGTAGAATTTTTAAGGTTACACTGTACAAAAAATATTGTCATCATGTAACATGAAAATGTGGTAACTTCTAAATTAACTGGTTATTTAATCAATTCAAAAACATTACTGATTAAATGAACCTGAATATGTTACACTAAACTAATTGAAGTCATTTCCTAAAGGTCAATTCAGGTAGAATAAGTTAAATATGCACATTTTGTATATGTATATTGTGTAGATGTACTGAACATTTCAATGGGGTACCATTGGACAGTAATAATTCAGATGGTAATGTTTACTGTATGTACCAAAGTATCTCAATGAACGTGTGTTTTTTTCTGAACATGTCCTTTGTATTCTTTAAAATACATTGATTGGTGTGCCATGTAAACATGAGTAAGATGTATTGCTGATTGTAAGGCTATTAACAAAAAAGGAACAATGGAATTGCAATATTTTTGGACATGCATCATGCAGTACCATGGTATTCTTTTAAGTATCCTGGAGTAACGTAAATAGCTTACCATGGTGTATGAATTAAGTAATCATTCAGTATGCTATTTCAAAGGACCATGGCGCTTTCTTTTTCATGCTAAAGCATTGCTGTCAATGAACCTTTGCTGAACTGAATCTAAACTTACTTCTCCCGTTGTCCTTTATAAATGTGACGATGTCTTTATAATTTAAAGTTTGTGGATCTTCGTAAGGGAAAGCATCCACGGTGATGTTTTCATCTCGCAGAATCATGTAAATGCCCTCGGCGAGGAAGTAATGCGGCCGGTCGTCTTGTTTGAGGTCGTGGTAGACCATAAGCGCGCGAGAGCTCCAGTTAAAATGCGCGTGCAGATAACTGACAAAGTCTCCGAGTTTCGTGGTGGTCGGGCCCGTCCTGACAATAGTTTTAAACTCTTCGAAATCATTAAAACCATATGCTTGTCCTCCCGCGGTTATCAGGGGGAGTTTCCAGTGAGACGCGAACCGTCCGACGGACGCGACCGAATACGAGCAGCCAGGTCCGATGAACGCATCTGGTTTGTTGTAAAGTTTTGTGTCCACTGCGATAATCTGTGCCTTGTTTTCCGAGCAAGAACCAGCGGACTCTGTGCTAAAATTAAGGAGGTTGATGGTGTGTCCCTTTAAAAGTCCGCTCTTCTGAATTTTCTCTTGCGCCATACGGATCGCGGGGAGGACGCGCGGCGATGCCCACGAATACTTCATATTGTCGGGCAGCATCACCGCTACGGTAATATTCCCCTTTTCTGTTCTGCATTCCGGTACGAGTACATGTATAAGTACCACAATGTAAAAACTATATCCCATCCTAAATCCCGATCCCGTCTTAAGTTGACGAACAAATTGAGCGCGCCAGGTAAGAGGATTTATTCTTCTCAAATCAAACTTCAATGAGAAAAATCCTCTTTTAAATGAAGAGAACAATCCATTAGTGACGTCTTTCTTCCTCGTAGGCCAACTAAATTGCTTGACAGAGACTCCCGGTGCTTTATATGATGGACTTCTCGCGTCCAACTCCTCAGTGAGATTCAGTGTGTGCGCGTCCGTGTGTGTGTGTGTGTGTGAACATCCAGATGAGCGCAACTTCACCGCGCGCGGCCCTTGCACAGCCCCTACACGTCATGACAGCTACACTAGTTAATGGCTCCCTCTGTCTGCAGGTCAATTAACCGCACTCCTACATGGAGTCAGGATGAATTTCAGGGGATTTATAATTATAAGTACAATGTAAAAACTATATGGTAGCCGTTTCATTCTAAATTCACACACACTGAATCTCACTGAGGAGTTGGACGCTCCATATAAAGCATTTATTTGGCCTACAAGGAAGAAAGTCGTCACTAATGGATTGTTCTCTTCATTTAAAAGATGATTTTTCTCATTGAAGTTTGATTTGAGAAGAATAAATCCTCTTGGCACGCTCAAACTAACATGTTTGTCAACTTAAGACGGGATCGGGAGGATGGAATATATTTTTTACATTGTGCATTTATATTTCATTCTAAATTCCCCAACTTAGCTTTGCCTACTATTTAGAAAGCCAACAACAATTTGTTATTGGTAATAGCCTATAATATTAATTGTAATTTTATTGTTGTCATTTCTTTCAACTCATCAATTAGCCAGAGGAAAAGATTAAATCCATCCCCTTTTTTTAATCAAATCTTTCCCATATTTACCATTTTTAAATAAAATGCTTAAAATTGAATCGAGGCGAGTTGAACAATTATTTGGGACAAGTAAATTTGATTATCACAATTAATTCATGCAGATAATTTAAATTTATGTTCATGTTTTTATTTCTATTAGTGTTGCCCCAAGCCCATAGGTATGTGGGTTCTAACTTCTAAGAACGTCCTATGTTGTTACAATAAACTAAAGTTACAGAGAGGTTTAATATTACAACCTAACAATAATCATTTTGTAGGATAAATATAGGAATATGATTTCAAATTTTGAGACACACACAGCACAAAAGTAGCCTAGATGTTGAAGCAAAATGTGTTACAAGTGGCGCAAAAAACGGGGTAGGCCTATGCAGTAGGCTATGCAGTGCATAGGGGCGCCGGACGGGAAGGGGGCGCCATTGTGGCAAAATAAATCTTTGAAAATCTCCTTTAATAAAACTTTATAAATAATAATAAAAGAAATGTTAAAAATGATGAAAGGAAACGTTTTTATTTTTTACTTTTGTTTAGCATTTTAACTGATTATTGCTTCTCTGGAATAAGTGTTGTTGTTCCCAATCGGTCAGTGACTACTACGTAGGTAATGACTGACCAATAAGAATCTCACTAGAGAGGCCAATCTACTTCGAGTGAAACTAAACAAGCCAATGCACATTGGCGTGCAATCATTTGCATCAGCTGTGCAGCCTCGCAGCGCGGGTATTTAACGAGCAGCTGGTGCGATTGCACACTAGCTTTTTGCTTCGGAGCCAAGCACTTCGTCTGCAAGCCTCTTCTGGACACTTTGGTGTGGGCGTGACAGCATAGCAGCCTGAGCGGTCTTCTCTTCTCTCTCTCTTTTTTGTTTTCTGTTTTTTATTTTTAAACTGAGCAAAACAAAAAAAGCTGTTTTCACAGCTGGAAAGGGGCGCGGTGAGAGCGCTCAACAGCCGTTTTCACGGCTGGTAAGACCAGCGAGAGAGAACAGCGCACAGACAGGTGCACATTCCTGTCTGTGTTTGCGGTGACCGTTCCACTGCATGCTCACCAAGGAGAGCAGTCCCTAAAAAAGCTTACACAGATAGTTCGCATCTTTTTAAAGATGACGTTCTATCTGTGTGTTTCTGGATGTGGTCATTACCTGGGGTCCCGGGATGGTCACGATCGCTGTTCGTGGATGAGTCATGTACCCATTGTGGGAAGATAAAAATCTCGGAGCTGCGGTCGAGACTCTCGTTCCTGCAAAGGGGCAGAGTTCCCGTGCCTCTGCCTCGATCCAATCTTCCTCAGAGGGTTGCTTCGGGCAGTGACACGGGAGACCTGAGGATTACGGTGAGCGCGCTTCCTTCGGGGAACCAACCTCCTAGGAACCCTCACCCCTCTCACGCTCCGCAGCCAGTTGAGCCACCAAAGGAACGTGCTGGACCATCCTCGAGGTGTGTACCAGTCGTTTCATTTGGTGCTCCCCGCGACGATCAGATGTCGATCGCTGCATCGGGTCAGACTTCTCAGCGGACGACGTCTCGGAACCGCTGCCTCCTTCGGGTGTGCCAGCGGTGCCCGAGTCAGACCCAGAGATGATGGCCATGCTTTCCCGGGCCGCCAACAGGATCGGGCTCGAGTGGAACCCTCCACCGTGTCCCAAGCCCTAGAGGCTGGACGATTGGTATCTCGGGGTGATGCGTGCTGGTTCTCAGCAACCCACCCCAGTACCTTTCTTCCCGGAGGTACATGAGGAGCTCACGGGGATGTGGACTGCCAGAAACCGTGTCAGTGGCTCCTCCTCCCTCACCACCCTTGATGGTGGGGCAGCTAAGGGATACACACGTGTGCCACCAGTGGAGCGGGCCGCTGCAGTGCAGCTGTGCCCTACCTCCACTTGGCGCGGAGAACCGTGTCTTCCTTCCCGGGCCTGTAGGTACTCGTCGGACCTATTCGACGAGGCTTAGAAGGCCTGTGGGGAAGCTGCCTCTGCCATGCACCCCATGGCGTTACTGCAGGTCCATCAGGCCAAGGCACTGAAGGACCTGCACGAGGGTGGTCATGATCCACAAGTTCTTCAAGAACTTCGTGCCGCAACGGACCTCACGCTTCGTGCGACGAAGGTCACTCCGCGGTCAGTGGGTCATGCTATGTCCACCTTGGTGATCCAGGAACACCATCTCTGGCTGTGTCTGGCCAACATGAGGGAGACCGACAAGCTCCGGTTCCTTAACTCCCCTGTGTCCCAGACCGGCCTCTTCGGCGACGCGGTCGAGAACTTCGCCCAGCAGTTCTCGGCTGTACAAAAGCAGACAGAGGCTATCAAATACATCCTGCCGCGGCGGTCAGCTGCTGCCTCTACCCCACCGCCCGCGGCTCCTCAGTCTGCTCGTTGCCGGGGGCGTCCTCCTGTGTCTGCCCCTGCTCCCGCGCCGCAGCAGCAGCCTCCACCTAAATGGCGCCGTGGAGCCAGTCGCAGGCAGGCCGCCCCACCCGTCCAGGCCCCCGCCAAGAAGGGCGGAAAAGCCAGAGGGAAGCGGCCCCAGGATGGACGACCCAGAGATGGATGGGACTGCTCTCCAAGAGACGGTGACCGCACCGCTCCTCCCCCGGAAGAGGGCCGGGAGGAATATCCTTCTGTTTGTGTTCCGCCGCTGGCCTCATAAACCAGCGGTACCCAAATTTTCAATAAAAGAGCAGTATCTCCGAAGAGGGCCCAGAGAGCAGTTGGAGGAGAGAATCCTCACCACTCTCATCCGCCTCTGCTATCGCCAGCGGGCAACAGTGTGCGGTTCGAGAACACCACCGAGCCGCCTCCTGCACCTCCTGCCCCGTGGAAACAGGTAAGTGTTGCAAAGCACAATCAGACCCCGCTACGGGCCGCCTCCCAGCGAGAGCCTCCCGAGCCGCGTCCCTGTGTTCCACCTCGCTGCCCCACACCGGGTACACCTACGGTTCCTTTGGTCCCGCTTGTACGGTCTCTGCGAGCCTGGTTAGCGCTCCCCAGTCCGTCTCGCTGGCTCATTCGCACCATCAGGCTCGGCTATGCGATTCAGTTCGCCCGGCGTCCCCCCAAGTTTCGGGCCATCCATTCCACTACAGTGAGAGCAGCCGATGCCCATGTCTTGCAAGTGGAGATCGCAGTCCTACTGGCGAAGGACGCGATATAGCCGGTCCCTCCAGCTGATATGAGGTCAGGGCCCTACAGTCCCTACTTCATTGTACCCAAGAAAGGTGGTGGGTTACGACTGATCTTGGATCTGCGAGTTTTGAATCGGAGCCTCCACAAGGACCAGATAGTGAACCTGCAAGCGCTGCCCCTAGAGGAGGCAGACCCAGCCCTGGCTTTGCTCTGTCCCCTTCGCGCTCTGCGTATGTACATGGGCAGAACTCAAAGCGTCAGGACCTCAGACTAGCTCTTTGTCTGTTACGGAGGCCAGCAGAAGGGAAAGGCTGTCTCCAAGCAGAGGATGGCCCACTGGATAGTGGATGCCATCGCCTTGGCTTACCATGCACAAGGCGTGCCCTGCCCACTCAGGTTGCATGCACACTCCATGAGAGGTGTTGCATCCTCCTGCGCGCTGGCACGTGGCTCCTTACTAACAGATATCTGTAGAGCTGCGGGCTGGACGACACCTAACACGTTCGCTAGATATAATAGCCTACGTGTAGAGCCGGTCTCCTCCTGTGTGCTCACCCTAAACGTGTAGAAGCACCGAGAGGTCCGGCTATGTCGCCTCTCTAGCGAAATTCCTATTGGTCAGTCATGACCTACGTATCCGTTCCCTCCCTCAGGGAACGAGGGTTACCGTATGTAACCGAGACTTTTTTTTTTAAGGGGCAAGTGAAAGAGAATTTTACTTGCCCGGCCAGACAAGTAGCTTAAAAATCACTAGGGACGCATCGAAACGCGAGAATGATTCTGGTTGTATTAGCTACATTCTATGTGAAATTGATAATGGATAGTGTAACGTTAGGCCTATTTCTGGTAACAAGGTCACACTGCCTTGTCTCTTTGTGAGAGAGACTTTCTTTCGTGGAGAAATCGAAACAAATGAGCTCAATAGCACACAATAATCTCACAGAAGAAACATACTGAGGTAAAAATTTAAAATGTTGAGAAAAGAGAAAAAAAATATATATACTGTATATAACGTATGATAG